CCTTTAGTGAGTGGAAATGGAGCTTTGAGTAAGGAGGATGGAGCGAAAAAAGAGAATTTATCAGAGAATAAGAAAAACGAGAGGTCCGCAGGGAAGCAAACCATAAAGCCCTGGTCAAACGATCCAACATTTCACCCAACATTTCGCCTAACATGGTGTTTGGCGAAATGTTGGATCGTTTGACCACCTTGTTGGGTCACCCAACATCGTAACTTTCGATGCTGGACGAATATTGACTGACGTCAAAAATGTTGGCTGCCGACGTCCAACAATTCTATTGTTTTGAAGTGTTACGTGAAATGTTGGACCGTTTGACCACCTCAGCCAACCTTTTTGGCTCTGCGCACGCGCAGTTGGCCAAAGAGCGCCTAAATTCAATCATCTCATCGTTGTTGTTTTCTTGGACTGGTTTCGTTCGTTTCAACAATCGCGTTTGCTTGCAATCAGTTACACTTTAATTATGGGCAATATAACGAAATATAACGAATTTGGTGCTAAAGAAGAGGCATCAAGCGTCAATGAAGAAACTGTAGCACAGAGGAGCTACAAGAAAGCGCAGGATAACGAATTTAGGCCACGACTTTGATAGAGGATGTGATGCTCGTCCGGAAAGACCGTGATGACAGTGAAAAAATCTGAAGAGAAAATTAAAAGAGAAGGCAGTGATTGCCTTTCGTTTTTTCGGATCGAAACGTTGCGAAACTGTGCAGCCTTCAGCGCGAATTTCTACCCAGTCTTTTTTCGATCTGCGCGTGAAAATGTTGGGTGAAATGTTGGATGAAATGTTGGATCGTTTGACCTCCATCGTTTGGTGATATTCTAACATAAAAGAGAAATGTTGGGCGAAATGTTGAGTGAAATGTTGGATCGTTTGACCAGGGCTCAAAAGCTGCGGCAAACAACGTGCGTCTTAAGATGCTACAGTTACTCGGCGCATAGGCGCGGATCTAGACCGATTGCACAAGTTTCAAAAAACCGGTCAAACTCTAAGAGACATGTTTCTCTCTGAATTTTTAATTTTCATCTAAAATTTCAATTTTGACTTTTGCTACGTTTCTCCCTGACTGTCTACAGTTCTTAATTTTACATACTGAATTGAACCCCCACAAGATTCTGACAGAGTTCCCAGCTTCCTAATTCATCTTTTATCCCAAAGTATCCGAGGAATTCAAAATTGAGGAAATCAGTCGCCACTCGAAGTGACAGTTAGGAGTATCCTATCTATGCGTCAATATTGAAACGGTTGGCTATTGTTTTCTTAAAATATGTGAAAACCGGTGCCCATATGTTTCCCTTATGAGAAAAAAAACGGTGGCTAAAAAGCATATTCGATATTGATATCCATAGCCTGAAAGTGTGGACTCTTTTAAAAAACGAAATGATATAAAATGTAATACCGATGCAAATAAGAATATGAGGTCTTATATTGGGGTACTAGACTTTCTTTCTTGAAAAAACTCACGAAAATTAGTTGTTTTGGAAACATTTTGGAAAAAAGCGAAGTTGCATGAAGAGGATCAAAGGCCATGATGAACCGAATAAAATTGTGACTTTTTAGATAAAGAGTGGGCAAATCAGGCACTGCGGAGCGTTGAGAAAAGTGGCGGGTCTAGAAAAATGGGGGGGGGGCTAAAATCGTACAAAAAGATGCTTAGTGGTATGTAGTTTATTACTCAATATTTGGCATTTTTTCCTAAAGTCCCCGCTGCAGCCCCCCTGCTCCCAGTGCCTGCAAATTAATCACATTTTACTAGCTGTCACAAACCCAGAGATTAAAACATCAGAAATAAACTGTGTTTATAACTCAGACACTTTAATACAAATAAAACATACGAAGCATACTAGGCCCTAACCTAACCTAAAGCCTTACGACGAGTGACAGAGTTTCGTTCAAATAGCTTCTCATGTCTCCATCCAACTGACTCTACTTAAACTTGTATATATATATGTACGAATGGAATCTAAAATTAGCGATACACGATGATTATGTAACGAACCGATAACACGTAAAAGGAAGGGCTAGGTTAAATGATGCCATGCAACGTAAAGATATCTGAATCAAAAGTATGCAAAAATGATAGAAAACTACGCAAATGGTAAAACAACAACGTAGGGACGAGAATGAGTAACCTATGACTAGGCCTAAACAATGCCGGGAATGTCCCGCACCTATAACAAAGCTCCCCCCTGAAAACTCAAGACACTTTGCAGCTGCTGATGATTCCGAAAACGACTTATTCAACCTTATAGATTCTAAACTAAATGAAAAAATTGATTTATTAGAAGTGAAGAATTTGGTTGAAAAACTCAAATCTGGCAAAGCACCAGGTCTTGATTTGTTGAATGCTGAACTCTTCAAACATTTAAATGACCGTTATTTTATTCTAATTGTTAAACTTTTTAATAAAATTCTAGATTCTGGTGCCTTCCCAGCAGAATGGTCTATAGGCATCATTGTTTTGCTTTTTAAAGGTGGTGACAAAAAATTATATAGAGGGATTACCTTGCTCAGCATTTTCGGAAAGCTTTTCTTGGGTATTCTTCTTAACCGCCTGAATCAGACAGTAGAAGAGTTTAACATTTTCAAGGAGAATCAAATTGCTTCTAGAAAATCATATCGAACCTCCGATCACATTTTTACGCTTCATGCTGTAATTGAGAACACATTTTCTAGTAAGAAAACTCTTTATTTATGCTTTGTTGATTTTAAGAAAGCTTTTGATTCCGTTGACTACAAAAATCTAACTGATACATTGTTGTCTTATGGTATTAATGGTAAAGTGTTAGATGTCATTAAGTCCCTGTATGCAAAAGTTAAGTCTTATGTAAGGGGCCAAGACAGCCTAACTAATCTATTTTCCTGCCATCGTGGTGCTAGGCAAGGTTGTTTGTTGAGTCCGTTGCTCTTCACTTTGTTTCTTAATGACTTAGACTCAAAGATTAATGCTGTGTCTACCGGTGTCAGATTGGGTGATAGAAATATCTGCACCTTTTTATATGCTGATGACTTTTATATGTTTTATTAGCTAATCCTGCTGATGATCTGCAATCCCAGTTGAGCAAGCTAAACCAGCTCTGCTTGTCCATTAATATGGAGATAAATGCTTCCAAAACCAAGATAATGGTTATGAGAAAAAACAAGAAAAAATCTAAGGCGTGCAAAATTTGGAAATTTGGTGATAAAGAGATCAAAGAATGCAATGAGTACAAATACCTTGGAGTTACTTTTAAATCTAATGGTTCCTACAGTGCTTATGTTGATATAATTAAGCAAAAAGCTCAAAAATCTTACTTTGCTCTCTTGTCCAAAAGCAACGAATGGGATGGTTTCAACCAAAGACTGTTTCTATTTCTGCTTGACAGTACCATACTTCCTATCCTAAATTATGCCACTGACGTTTGGGGATCTGGTACATGGGAATGCCTGGAAAAATTCATCTTATGGCTTGCAAGTCAACCCTAGGTGTTAAAGGGTCTACAACGTCTCTTGGGGTTTATGCAGAGTTGGGACGTTGTTCGTTGCTTGAACATAGACATATTAACATCTTAAAATTTTATATTCGTTTAATAAATCTTGATTCCTCCAGATATGCATACAGAGCTCTTCAAATGTTAATTAATGATGCAAATTCCGGTGTTTCTAATTGGGTCAGTATTGCCCGTTCCCTGATGACCCTTTACAGAATACATACAACCGATAACTCCACTATCGTGAAATCAAAAGTGTCTTCCCATTTTAGGTCAAAAATTATGGACAATTTAAAAGAACAAACTATTCTCAATAAAAAGCTTTGTACATACGCATCTTTCAAAACTGTTTATAAGTTTGAGCATTACTTAGACTTGATACCTAGCAAAAAGAAAAGATCCAACTTTGCAAAACTACGTCTCAGTGCCCACAACCTCTGGATTGAAACAGGTAGATACGGGAAGAATCCTATTCCTAGGATTGATAGAAAATGTCCGTATTGTCAATCTTTTGATAAAACTGCTGTGAAGGACGAAATTCATTTTTAATCAGTTTGTCCCCTTTACGAGACTGCTAGGAATTCTATGTTATCTATGATTTATTCAAAATTTCCCAGGATATCATCCCTTGACCTTTGTGATAAGTTTATTTGATTGATGAGTCAAGAAGTTACGGATTGTCCTATATCAATGTCTGATAACTTTATATCGCTGGCTTTTGAATCACGGGAATCTTTTGGGAAGTCCTCTACGTGCATATCCTCGTAACGTAAAAATTCTAGCTCGTCATCATCTTTTCATCTGTTTATCTTTGTATTAGCTGTTTGCTGTTTTCTGAGATTTATTGTTAATTTGTAATTATATTAACTTGTAAGTATAGTAATTCTGTTGGCTGTTTTCTGAGATTTATTGTTAATTTGTACTTATGTTCTGAGATTTATTGTTAATTTGTAATTATATTAACTTGTAAGTATAGTAATTCTGTTGGCTGTTTTCTGAGATTTATTGTTAATTTGTACTTATGTTCTGAGATTTATTAATTAATTTAACTTGTAAGTATAGTAATTCTGTTGGCTGTTTTCTGAGATTTATTGTTAATTTGTACTTATGTTCTGAGATTTATTATTAATTTGTAATGGTCAACTTGTATGTATGGTAATTGTGTTGGCGATGGGCGATTTCGGCCTACAAGCCTTATTGTAAAAAAAAATAAAATAACATAAACAATGGAAGGGAGCGTCGCTAACAGACGCGAGACATGTGACGTACGAACGAGAGGTATGCCACAGTGAATCGCGCTCGCAATTCGGAATGTTGAGTCAAATGTTGAACGAAAAGTTCAGTCAATTAATAGAGAGTGCGGAAAATAACCGACCCGAGCGAGGCTCGAACTCACGACCCCTGACTTTGTACGTCAAGTGAAAAGCTCAGTCGTTTGACCACCCCATACTCAACAACGCTGAACAACACTGAACATGACTCAACATTGTTCAGCGAAATGTTAAGTGAAAAGTTGAGTCGTTTGGCCAGGCCTTTACATAACTGCAAGATTTTCAACAAAGTTCTTTATTGGCCTACGCCCTTCAAAGCCCTCCAACCACAGCATCTCTGCTTGTAAAGGCGGTATTTCCCGTCAGTCAACCGTTGAGAGTTAACAATATGCTTTGCGGCGCATTAAAATCAATGGAAAATGTAAATGGCCGAAATGCGTCGGGATGTAGTGCCTTAAAATTTTTCAGGGTTTTTGCTTCACAAGGTTTCTGAATAGTTTTCAAGGTTTCTTAAAAACAAGACAACATAGTTTTCGATTTGGCGCATGTTGAATAAACTTATTAAGACAGAATAGAGTGAATGGCTTTGTTTATTAAAGAATACCAGCATTAATAAAACCTCGAAAACAAATCTGTGGTAAGTGACGCAAAAGAAGGTCAACAATTGCGGTCATTGTTACAAAATGTTTTTCTTGCAACAAAATCAAAAATATTACAACAAGAATGATGTTAAGATAAACTCTCTGATCCTGTCTTGTCATGGCTGTCGATTCTTCATCTAGCTGTTTGGCCGAAAATTGCATACGAAAAAGTACCAAGCCCCATGAAAATGTTGCACAAGGAGAAAACTTGAAACGCTCGCTTGGATTTAAACACTTGTTCTTCTATGTAGTTGGAGCTTTAGTTGGATCTGGGATATTCATCTCGCCGCACATGGTCGCCCAACAGACAAATAGCATGGAAGTGGCATTGATCGTTTGGGTAGGGTCAGGCATTGCCTGTGTTCTAGGTGCCTTGTGCTTTTGCGAATTAGCAAATTTTTATGGGAAAACAGGAGGAATGTACCTCTTCATTAAATATGTTTATGGGGATATCGGTGGCTTTCTTACAGTATGGACACAAATTTTCATCATTAGTCCTGCTGGTATTGCAATTATGGCAGCTACGATCGGACAGCAAGTGGCTAGCTTTTTCTATGAAACAAAAACCCTCGAAGAAGAATTGATTGTTAGAGCAGTTGCCATTTTATGTGTGGTAGTGAGTTTCATTTGTAGCTGTAATAGCACGAACTTCGCAGCAAAGGCCCAAATAGTCTTCACAGCTGTTCAGATAATCATAATCTTACTGACCCTCGTGCTTGGGGTATGGAATGCATCTAATGGCGACGCCAAACTGTACAGTCAAGGATTTAAATCAGCAAGGCCATTTGATTTTGAAACTCTAAACTTGGCACTTTACAGTGGCCTCTGGGCTTATGATGGCTGGGGGTTCATTTGCAATCTTGTCGAAGAGACACAAAATCCTGAGAGAAACCTCTGGCTTTCCAGTTTGACGGGAATCTTGTTTGTTACGTTCTGTTACGTAGCTATAAACCTCTCTTTTATGACGAAATTGTCCTTTCTGGAAATAGGAAAGTTCCAGTCACCATTTTCGGCGTTCATTAGCCGAAGCCTTGGTAACGATTTTGTATTTATTGTTCCAATCCTAATTTCTTTGGCGTGTTTTGGAACGATGAACGCTTGGCTTTTCACGTCGGCGAGGTCATTGCTATCTGCATCACGCGAGGGACAGTTTCCAACACTTTTCTCCTTTATTCATCAAGAGAAAAGAATTCCTATATTAGCGCTGCTGAAAATATCTGTTTTAACAACAGTGTGGATTTTAGTAGCAGGCAGTAGAGTTGAAATACTTTTGACATACTTTTCGTTTGCGATCTGGCTGATCTATGGCATGGCACTATTTAGCGTATTGGTTCTTCGCTACGAATGTCCAAACGCTGAGAGGCCTTACAAAGTATTCATAGCTTTTCCTCTAATTATGAGTATCGTTTCCAGTTATTTGATGATTGCATCCTTCATCAAAATGCCATTGCAAAGTGGCATTTGCCTTATAATTCTTTTATCGTCAATACCATGTCACTTTATTTTTATAAAAAATAGCCACCAGCTACCGGAACGCTGGAAGAAGTTAACAGAGAGGTTTTATCAAAAAATTTCAAATCATTTTGGATTGGTTCCTTGTATCCTGAAGGAAGAAGAAGACAGCGACAAAATCTTGCCAAAAGGCGAAAACAATACTATGTCAGATTGAATTCAATGAAGTTTTGTGGTGCATTTAAATTTCTACTCAGGGTATCAGAGTCGCAAAAATTTAACGGCAGCAAAACAATAACGAGAGCTGCGGAGGCGAAAGAGAGAGAAAAAGGAAGGAGAGAGAAGGCTCCTTCGCAGCTCTCATTATTTTTTGTTGCCGTTAAATTTTTGTGGCTCTGGTACCCAGGGTATTAAATTTCATTTGATGAAATAGAATAACGACTTTGTGCAAGTATATAATTTCCAGTTCGTCTTACGACGTGGAACGTAAGACGAGATGGAAATATGAAGGGGGTGGGAAGCGTATAGATAAGATAAAGTGAAAATAAATAATAGCTGGATTAGGAAAGAGACGAAAATTGTTTATTAAGACCATTAGGAATAAGAGTACCAAGATTAAAAGTAATAAGTTTTTCGAGGGTTTTGCATTTAGTGTTGTTACGAGGTGGTTAGCAAAGTCCAGTGATTTTCATGTTGGCTGGTGTATGGCCATCTCTGTTGAAATGAATTGAGACTGTTGCATCTGGGTCCTCTCTTCTTGTTCTTGAAGGGGTGTTTTCTTCTCTACATCGCAGAGATGCTCACCAAAACGGGTATTTATCTGACGGGACGCCTCCCCAATGTAGTCTTACGGTCTACGTCGTATTCCTACTTTGTTCCATATAGTTTATCTTTCGATTCTACTGTGCTATTCTTTTCTTTGCCGGATGAAAAGTTAAGCTTTTTTTTATCCACTTTATTCAATGTTGGTTTGCAAAATGATAGCTTATAAACAGCTAAATAGCACCAACTTGTAACAATAACAAATATAACAAATAAAAGTATCCAATATTAGAAAGATATGGTGTGCATAGTCTACACGGGCAAGTAAGATCCGTTTGTTTAATTTTAGCTTTTAATTCTTTAAAATTTTTTGTCGATCGAATGTCTAGTGGTATAGAAATCCACAATTCATTACATCTATAGGATATTGTATCTAGCCCATAAGTAACAGTGTTCGGCTTTTTTGTATAAATGATTGATTTCGTAAATTACCGTCTACTCTCGATAAGTGGAACCTCCACGGGACCGAAAAAGATGGCTCCATTTATCGAATGTTCCACTTGTCCGAATTACTCGATAAGTGGAACCTCCATGAAACCCAAAAAAAGTTCCACTTGTCGAACTTCTTCCTTGTCTGATTTCTCTGGAGAACGGGGCATTTACGAATAATGAAAAACTGGAGGAAAGGAACAAAAGAAAAGGCTTTATAAGTATTTATGTTCCATATGATGATATTTTTAAAGCAATGTAGTTATGCAAAATAATCTTTTATACACGCTTGTTTTAGAGTTTGTGAAAGTTTCTTTTCAATTAATTTGGAAATTTCCATGGTACAGCGTTGAAGCTTTTCTGACTCTACAAGAAAACTAAAGACCAATGGGGTTTCAATGGCACTTCTCAATTGTGCTGATGTAGGCTTTTCCAGACGTTGATCTCTATTTGTATCACCGCCATCCTCTTCATCATTCTCTACTTCGATTGGCTCCTCTACTTCACGTACCATTGCAATGATTCAATCGTTTCTTTCATCGACTCACTCATCCATTAGAAGCATGAAAGTCTTTGAGTTCTAATGATTTTGCGAACTCTAGAGCTTTTTCTTTAAATATACTACAGCTGATAGGAATATTCCTGTATCTTGCAGTTTTCAGCCATTTATAAACGGCAGAGTCCAACTCCTCGTATGACGCAGTCTTCATTCTTTTTCCCTTTTTAAAAGCATTGTTTCCTTCAACTGCTTCAAATATTTCAGCTTTCTTTTTTACCCAATGTGAAACTTTGCTTTTAGCAACACCAGATTTTATATTTTGCTTAATTACATAAAGACAGAGGTCAGAAGAGTGAATACCAATCAAACTGGCATTTGAAAAATTATATCTGCGTGTGGAAAAGAATTATTACCTAATCTACCCGGTAAAGTACGAAACTGCAAGCCAGTTTCACTGCTACTTAGTTATAATTGCTGTAAGAATGCCATATTGCGAAGGCCTATTATGAAAATCATGCAATTCGGTCGTCCTATGTTTACCTCGGATAATAATTTTACTTGACAAAAAGAAGAAACTGGTTCAACTATTCGTCAATTCAACTATTCGTCAACCGAATTTTTCGATACGCGAATGCTTTTCTCTCGAAACTTTTCTTTTTGCGCATGTGTCGTCGCGAATTTTTCAGACGAACGCTGCAAAAAAACGTCAGAGGAAACTAGCCTTTAAAGGCTCTTGCGCAAGCGGCAATGCTTTGCGACTATAATACACCAATTCGACTTACGGCCTCATTTTGAAAAATTCTTCAAATTCTGTTGTATAACATTTTTGACCTCAGATTCAGGTTGGGAGCAATGATTTTAATCTACTTGGAAGTTTTCATCGTGGTATTGATCACGATATTGATTTTATGTCGACATAAAGATGAAAATTTTTTAAGGGATTTGACCGTGATTGACAACTAGGGGAGTAAAGTTTCCCCCCGAAACGATTTTTTCAAATCCCTTAAAAGTTTTCAAACTTCATTTCTCGGTTAAATCTAAAATACAAGCTCAAACAATATGAAAAAATTGTATTCGTCCTAAAATTATGGCGATAAAACCATATCTGAGCTTAAAAAAGTCGTATAAACAAGTTTGGAGAAATTTCCAAAACGAGGTCGTAAGTCGAATTGGTGTATTCCTAAACCGGCCCAAAATCGGTACTGCATGAAAATACAAAACACAGTCAATTTCTTGTGACAGTTGCCTATAAACATACCGCTTGCAATTGGTAATGCCGACGAGAAGAAAGATACCTTTATCCATCCAATTAAAGAATTGTTTTCTCGCCTGCGGTTATCCAAATGCGGGTTTTAAAGATTCTACTCGGTTTCACGTCCATTGGCTCCTTTAATCCGATGGATGCTATCTTGATTAATTGGTTCATAACATCACAATGCAATTATTACTCACTTTCAAAGGTGTATCACGGAAGGGCAACCAATTCAAAAGTCAAGAGGATTTGTCACGTAGATTTCCGAACATTACAGGAAGACATCTATTAAGGAGTGGCGCTAGAAACTAAACCACGATGTGCCGACAATCTTAGAAAATTTAAAGTGCCGACGACTATAAAAATGGTTGCCGACATATTTCATGAACTCCCCTTTACAGTATCTTTAAATCTTAAAATGTGTTGAAAATGAATGAAAAAAATGTTTTTATCCGGCAATCAAATCGTGTATTTCTCTTTTAAAAAGATCTACGACAACGTTATGGTCAAGCATCTTGCCCCGCTTTGACTGAATATCATGGAAAAATCTTGTTAACAGTGAAAATGGCTACGCACTTAATAGTAAGCACAAGCCCTGAGGCAAGACACAAGAAAAAATTTGCGACCACACCCTTTACTTTAGCTGAAAATACATTCCCGAATATTTCTTGGAGCCATCTTCTTCCAATTGTTTGAAATGTTGTACTCTTCTTGGGCATGATTTTGTTATGCTTGAATAATTCTGTTCTTAAAAAAGTGAATTCATTACTTTAAAAGGCCCCATAGAGCCTACCCTGGGTACCAGGTTCACTATATAAAATAATAGTACCAGACTCAATTTTATTTTATATATAGTGAGTCTGGTACCCAGGGTACATAGAGCCTTGAAGCCCTAGGGAAATTTTCCTTGCCCCCTCTTTGCAGCCCTGGACGACAGTTTTTGATAGATCCTTTACTCAAAAAGACAATTTATAACAACAATAGCCTCCAAATTTGTTATTTTTAATTGATTCAAATTGGTTAAGTTGACGCTGAATTTTCAAACGTTGCTTGCAAGTGGTCCCTGAACACTCTCCTTAAGCAACTGCACTGCTTACTAAGCACAATCTTTAGCAACTGCACTGCTTACACCCTTATGAATTAAAAACAAATTAAGAACAATCCAGCCTCATAGTTCTAATGAATTTATGGTTCTACTGAGAGTCAAAAAGCTAGCCTGAACTTCAATTTAATGGTTCTTATAAAAAAGTAAATTCATTCGACAGTTTCAGAGTGTCGATAGTTCTTTTTTTCTTATATTGGGCTGCCGACGGGGTGTCATTGGTGACCCTTTGGAAGGGCAGCTGCCCCCCCCCCCCTATGACACCCAACAGCTCAATCCCAGCGTCTATCAGAGCAATCTGCAAATAATGATTGAATTATTCAAAAAACCCTAAGGAATTCAAATCCAGTTATCATGAAAAACAATTTCAGCGAAAACAACAGTAACTACAGCTTAAATGCGGGAAATGCCGTTTACATGCGCGTTTCAGTCTTTTTATAGAATGTTATGTCACAATTTTCAAGTATGTCAAAGAACACCCATTTAGTTACTTTCGTAGATCAACTTTTTCGTTGAATCAGAGACGGCGGCACGAAATTTGAACTTTGGGGGGGGGGCTAAGAATAAAGTTTAGTGACATCGGAGCACCCACCATGGTTTGATTCGACAGGAAAGGAAATTTTTGAAATCAGGCCTTCTAGAATGGCTAAAAATGCATCTCCCTGACTAAAATTTAACAAATTACTATACCTCTCAGAATAGACAATTCGATGATTCTCAAAAAATTGTTTTTGATTTTAAGAAAAAAATTGGAAGGGGAGGCTTCAGGGAATGAATGAAAGAAAGGGTGACCTTGCTCAGAGTGCACATCAATGCAAATAATAAAAAGCTGTTATATTAATCTAATTAAATCCTAGGTATTTTAATTTATTTCTTTAAATAGCTTTTATATCACTTTAGAATATTATCATTTTTATTCCTATAAATAGTAGGCTTTAATTAGCTTATCTTTTAGCCACTACTGTAAAGAACGTCTACTGTAAATATTATATTATACATTATATTTTATTATATTGATTGCCAGGGTGCACTTCATGTAGTTAGGTCCGAAGATCTTCGGACACTCATGTTTTTTGGCGTTCCGCGTGCAAACTAATGAAAAACATTTTGACATACATAAAATCTTCGTTAGTTTACGTTCTAAACATGAAGCCATTTACGTAGTGCGTACACTTGACATGAAAGTCACCATTGATTGGTAGAGAGAATTTTACTTCCTGAACAGAAATGTGCATCTTCTTTGTCTCGATTATTTTCAGTAGGCCATGTTTACGCATCCAAAATGCAGACATTGCAAAGATATAGCAAACATTATCTACTGAAATGATAAAACTAATCGACAAATAATAGAAATATATCAAAGTAAGTTAGCAAATAGATCCAATGAAATCAAGCAGTATATAAACAGTATGTTTCCTTTTTATTTCATGCTCTGTTTCCAAAAATAATAAAAAAGACGGTCAAAAATTTTTCACTTCCTACAAAGTGGCGGGACTTCAGCCCCCCATCCCTTCAGTGGCGCCATGCTGGCGAATGTTTCTGTAGGTTCAGTCAGGAAGAATCTAAGCACTTAACTTGTTACCAGATTCACGAGGGCTAGGTCTTCAATGTTTGTGTTTATTTTCAACATCATCTTCTCATTACGTATTCTCTGTTTCTTTATCGTGCGCTTGATAATCACAGGCATGGTAGTTGCTTTTGGCATATTGGAAAAACCAGACCCTATGATCCTAGAACCATTAACTACGAAGAACCAAGAAGGATCCTTAAACTCTTAACAACTACATGATTTGCGGCTCCCCCAGAGCTATGAATGAATGCATTTTCATTTTCCCGCCCTTTTCATCATTGACGAGTGGCGTCAGCTTTTACTCGGCCGTAGCAGTGAACATCAGTAGACATGAGCTTCTCATCGATCTTCAAGCCTTTAAAATACATATGTAAAGTACCTGAGTGCAAGAGAAATAGTACAATTGTAGTTATTTTGAGAGAATGAAGGACTGCATAATATCTCAGTGGAATTTAGCAATTTTTTCCGTCAGTAGCACAAGGATTAATGCCGACAAGAAATTATTTTAACAGTGGCTTGCAAAGGTAAGTTTATATATGTTAATTAAGTGGATAAAACAACTTTTAAGGATTAAAAACTGTAATTTTATGTTCTCCCTCCCCCCTAATTATTATAAGGGTTTGAAAGGGACATTTTCAAGCCTTCGTAATTGACGATCGCGGAAGAATTTTGACTGAGTACAACGGCAGTTTTTTCATAAATTTATTAAAGATTCAATTTAAAAAGAATCAAGGTTATCTTTCAGCACATTTCACACGTTTATTTTTTGTGGGTAGTGGTAAAAACGTTCAAAATAGGCCTAAATCTAGCTGCGAGACACGTCTGTTATCATATTCTTAATTTCTGATTGGCTAATGGGTTATGGAGAATTCTGGTCGCTCAGCCAATCAAATATTGCAAGCTATGCTGAAAATGCTCTATTCAATCATTTGAACATATCATAGCGAAATACATTACTGGTTTGACAAAGTAACATGTAATTACTACATGATTTCCAAACCACATCATCATTTCAAGTGTACGTCACACAGGATGATCACACCATTTATTAGACTCTGTGCGATCCCAGGCCCAAGGCCAGATATCTTTAGTTCATGTTGTTCATGCTTTATAGAGTGACAGCATTTATGAACTAGGACACAAGCTGATATTTGATTGCTACATTTTTTTTCCTTTTTACATTTTTATTCAATTTTAGTAAAACAGGGAAAACATGGAACCTAGTTATAAAAAACCTTTATTGCTTTGCACTTATTACTGAAATCTCTCCTATTACTAAAATCTATTTAGATGCAGTTTCTGACCATCCTTTGATTAACATAATCTTGCCAGCTAAATATTTCGAGCTACATACAAAATGCGATAGTGGAAAATGAAGATAGGTGTGGAGCAGCGGAGGAGCGTTTAACTAAAGGTATTGGGGCTCAGGCTACATGAAATCATGCTGGTATTCTTTAAAGATGCAAATAACAAGTCAAAAAGAAAATTCATAAACCAATCAAGGAAATTTCATGTCGATGTTAGATGTTTTCTTCTCTAAACTTCTGTAAGCTGGATGGAGTTCATCAAGTGATGACGGTATTGGGAAAGCCAAAATAGATTGGCTGCTGTCGGGGAAGTGGGTTAACTAAGATATTGAGGGGGGCTTGTTCCCCCGTGCCACCACCCCTGCCGGCGATATACACTTACGTGACTAAAGTATTGAAAGGTTAAAAACAAAATGGCGGCTCCAAAACTAGCATTCTAAGATTGATTGAACAAATCTTGCTGTTTTGGCGGGATTCTAGAAATGGCATCAGCAAAAGTGCGATTCCTAACAAATTCAATTCATTTCCTACCTTTCTATGATAGAAAAGTAACAAAATGTCAGGAAGAAATGGAAAATATCAATGTTTTAGTTTCAATGCCGAAAACACAAAAGCGACCAGAAAGAGAACGAGAAGCAATAAAATATTTGGGTCTAGCGAGTCATTTGTTTGCTAAAACTACAAGAAAGTTTTATTGCAGCAAGTCTACAACACATGTTATTTACAATACCAATAGGTTAACAATGCCCACTAAAATTAAAAGAATGATAGGCCAGGGCAGGACGACAATTGGCTGGGCCTAATAGCATCTGCAAGCTGGCGTTGTGTGCGAAGTCAATCAATGCTGAATAATTTGTCCAATTATTTGTGGAACGTCCCCAAGCAAGTACAAAAACAAGTAGTGATTCTTTGCAAATACCATTTATTTTTAAGCAGGACAATAAACCTAGTTATGATGCAATTGTGACAAAAAATTTTAAAAGTAATGACGTCATGGTATTTCAACAACCCCGCCAAGGTCAAAGCCTTGATGTAATTGAAAACAGCTAGTTTTCATTAAAAAATCCAAAAAAATACAATCTTTTACAATTTTCTTGAGATTTCCTATTGTATTTATTTCGTTGCAAAATTAATTCAGTGAGTTCCAGTGCAAATGGTGGCTGCCAGTTTCCTTGAGGTCATCCAACAAAATAAATGATAAAGCAAATTGTACTTATCTAAAAAATTCTATTTTTTACAATTTATTAAATGTATCTTTATTTTTACAATTGGAGCAAAATTGTAATTGAAAATCTCAACTAACAATCTTGTTATGTTCCACCGATTTTCTATGGTGTTTTTTGAGCAAAGGGTTAACCACATTTGCTTTTAGGCGATTGTTCTAATACTTTTATCACGTAAGTGTAGAAGAATTTCAAATAGTTTGAATTTTCAAGGCCAACGTCGCGCAACAGCACAGGAAACGAAAAAATTCAAATACGCATGCTCATAACCTATCACCGGTGAAAAAGCGAAAAAAAATTCGCCTAATGGAGATTGGCCTTCAAAGATGAAAATGTATGAAAAGCTCGTTATATCGAGGGTAATTAGGATGAAGGGACCTAAAATTTGGTTCGTAATAACGAGAGTTCGTTATATCCGGGGTTTGTTTTACTGAGAAAATTTATAAGGAGTCTGTAAGGCAGAATCCAAGGGACCAGATATTCAGTTCATTAAACCGGGAAGTTCGTTATATCCGGAGTTCGTTATATCGGGATGTTCAGACGTTAACGATGTTAACGATGTGGATGTTAACGATTATGTGTTCATATACAAGGACTGCGTATACCCACCTTGTCAAGTAACATTAAAATAACGGCTCACGATTGGTCAGTATTCTTGAGATGCAAAACTGCTCACACGAAAAGCTAACCTCACATAAGAGGTAAACAGAACGACCGTAATGGCTGGGGCGATGACATGAAAAATCAAATGTTTCTGAAAACACTTGCAGACTTGCTTGCTTTACCTGAACACGTTTCCTTTAACTTCAGGCACCGCGAAGCGTTGAGAATAGTGTGGAGGGTCTAGAAAAGTTGGGGGGCTAAAACCGTATAAAAACAGGGTTTTCTGGTAGTTTATAACTTGATATTTGGAATTTTTTGCAAAACAACCAGGGAGCTAAAGCATCCCTCTCCCCCAGCCCAATCCCTGCTCCGCGGTGCCTGTTGACGTCGTCGAAAGGTAGTTGAACTGATGAGGCTTATGTTTCTATGACAACCTAACAGCAGCAACAACAAGAAATAATGAGTTCAAGAGTGCTATGGTCGGACAAGTCAAGAAGTCAATAAAGCCCCAACATGAATCAGGTAGTGAAAAGTTTTATGAATTAGCTTTAATTTTTGCTCCCTGCATACAAGGCAACTGATTAACCAACGAATCAGGTCTTTAGCCCTGTAGCTTTGCAAGGTTAAGATCTAAAGTATGCTCGACCATAGTTTTAAACATCCTCTTAAAATTGCTGTGTCCTCTAAGTGTGAAACAGTCTAAAGCTTTTTTAATCTCTTTGCAGTTCGCTTGAGAACTTTAACCTCGTCTTGGTCTATTTAATATCTGGAAATAATGCAAATATTTTTTTTGCCAAGCGAAGAATGGTGCAACGCTTTAACAGCTTCCTTCAAGTGTAACCTGTAACGCATATAAAGTAGAGTGCAATAATTGCCAATTTTATGATAGACTAGACTTTTCCTCCAAGCTAGTGCTTTAACACAAGACTGAGCCCGGTTTTTGTGTGATGAAATAATTATCTTTGAAAACCTGTACTCATAAGCCTTTTAGCTACTTACAAGCCTCTGATGTAACACAGGACTCCACCAAGCGAAACCTTAAGTATTTTGGAGGTTAGAGAGGATCGTCTGGATTTTTTGTGAGTGGCCACAAAGCTATTGTATAATCAAATTTTCCCTATGAGGAATCCACAGTTTCCCTAAACATTATTTTATGGTCTTTCAGCCTGACCTTTGAATAAGCGATCTGCATGTGTCATCATAAAGATCATCCTGGCAGCATATTTGTAAAGATTTTGCAGCTGATCAATTTCAGTTGCCCAATACCTTTCTTTACAGTACCTATGCAGAGATATACAGAGTAGAAGCTCAGTTCATTACATTTTAAATTAACTACATACAAAGTGAAAATAATTAATCAAACCATTCAAAACACAGATTAATACAGGAAATTAAATTACTATGCAAGAACATAGAAAAGAACTAAATAATAATGAATAAAAGAAGTTCTAAAAAGTTTGCATGTTTCAAAAGGCCTAAAAGAAGCTGTATAAATTTGTTTTTTTTCTAATCCAATTTTTTAAGGCTTTAATAACTACCAGTTCAATCAGCTTAATGAGATCAAATCCATTGCACCAATCATTTTGGTGTTTTCAAGCAGACAAATCAGAGATGAAAAAGGTGCAGCAGCCTATACTGGCCTGGAGACAAAATAACATTTCGGAGAGTCTTGAAATGACTGGTAAAATTGACATTGGCTGACACTTACGCCTTCTGCAGCCTTGTCTGTTTCTTTAAAAATTAGGGCCTCTCTAGCTAATTTCTATTTAGAACTCCCTATTTTTACAGATTTATTGAAAAGAAAAGCAAGCAAATTTTCAATAAAAGGCAATCAAACTTCATAAAGTAGCTAAATATGCTTTCAGTCCCATAATCTTCATTCTACTTTAACTAATATTATATGTATATATTCCCTAATTTCCTAAACAATTTATCCCCTTTCTTGTGCAAGAGTGGCCAGAAGTAGAAATTTGCCTTGGTTTATTTACTTTCATGAAATGGCTTGATAGTAGGAAGTTTAGAGCTGGAAGCTAGATCAATATTATATGCAAGGTCCTTACCTACAGAACAATTATTTATATGCAAGGTCCTTACCTATTAGATTTAGAGATTTCCTCTCATTTATCAATCCCTGACCCACATTAATTATTGTTGCTTGACTTTTTATCAAAAAAAGATTTTCAATTCTTTCTCCCTGTAGCATTGTCAAGAGAACAGTTCCAACTTAGTGAAGGAAACATCTTCCATACTAATCACTTGGCGGTCTTACTAAACCAAAATAAGAACAGATTTGTTTTAAGTTGCTTTGATCTCAATACAAATATGTTGAAAATCATCTTAAGAAGAGTTCTGTGACTTATATTTTTTTTTTAATCTTTGGTGTAATATATCTGTTTGCCAGTCAGTTTTGTGGTGCCTGGCTCCATATAGGCAGAGCTTCAGATTGTTAGATGTGTAGAAATATACGCTTTTGAGTATGTAAAATAAGCTGTTCTGCATTTAAAAGTTAGCTGGTTGAATTTCAAACATATAATCAACAGAAATATTTTACATATTATTTCAGCAGTCTTATGCATCTTTTAATATGCAAACATATGTCACATCAAATTTTTGTCCCCAGCATTAACCCTTGTTGCACAATCAGCAACCTTGGTAATTTAGTGGTCTGGTTTTTTAAATCCATTTTTGAGAACTCTTCCTTTTCACAGCAAAGAAATTTTAGTGTTCATTATTGTATTTCTTTTTTCAATTTGATTTTTTATGAAGTTTCTCCTCTAATCAGTCAAACAATGCCTATGGGTTCAATTGTAAACTTGCTGCTTAATGGCAGAGCTTGATCAATAGGGGCTAACTTTTCAAGTGAAGGACTGAGCTTTTTGACTTGAACTTCTTCAAGGGAAGGCTTATTTGTCACATTTCTATGGAGGTTATTTAAAAGATAAAAGGCTTGACCATTTGCCCTTTCCCACCTTTTAGCCCTGAGTAAGGTTTGTCTAATGTTATCTCCATCTGATTTACTTTTTTTCGTTTATTACAGGTGAAAGTCAGCAACCACAGACGAAAAGCTTCAAAAGTTGAGAGAGAGCTTGAACGTAGAAAGATTAGACAGGAGGTATGAAACTAAAAGAATAGAATGCTGGATACATTATTTTTATGAGCTTTTTTTCATGACGGTTAACATCATGCTCTCTTCACCTAGTCCTTTGTAAGTTTCTTGGTCCGTTATTAGAGCGAAAATGCGTTATACAAGTTCAATATTTGTTTGTGCGTAACTGGAAAGTTTTTAAGCCTTTTGCTTTTTAAAATTTACATTAACTGCCTAAAAATGTCGCTTTTGCCTCCAGGCTAAGTATGTGGAACTGAAGTTGATGATAAAGTAAACAACGAATGCTCAATGAAAACTTAATTGAACAATGAAATATTATTCGAAGAAACCTCTTTTGGTCCTAATATGTATAGTTTTCGATTTTGCAAGCAAGGAACATCTGAAAGAGAACAAGCAAAATTGAAGCCATTACGTACTTATCAATGATGTAAATGGTAAGATGATATCTTAATCATATAAAGAAATGTCATTTGTTGCTCAGCATTGTCATATTTTTAGATGTACCTTGACGCAATGGATGATCTAACTGCTCTACGAGATCACTATAAAGCTGAAGTAAGACGAAAACTAGAGGAAAAAGTGAAAAAACAAAGAAGACTTAGAGAGAATCAAAAGGCTACGAGAGAGGCAACGGAGATTGAGGTAGCAAATTGAAAAAGAGCCTGCTATCAACAGCAAAACATTTGTCACAATATAGTACGCATTTTATGTTAAGGATAGTCAGTGGTTAGGGTCGTGGAATACAAATCCAAAGGTCTGTGATTCGTGTCACTGACGTGACCAAACAGTCACTTAGAGTGGAGACTAATGACCAGCTTTCTGTTATTCCAAGCGTAAGATTGACGGGTTGTGGTCCCATTTATTGAAAGGGCCTGGACTTGTTCGATAAGAATAGCTTCTTAGTGTCCTAAAACCTACAGTATGGAGCTGGATGGAACAAACACAATAAATGCTCTTCAAACTATAGATTCTTATCTATTGCTTTATTGCTTTGATGAGTAAAACTAACTGTCTTTCATTTTGAATTGTTCTCTCACATCTTGGAATCAGGGAACAATAAAGAGAACAGAGAGAGAATAGAATATTTAGGTATAATATTATGTACGTTTCAAACACCGAGAAAACGAAAAAGCTTGCCATGCTCTGATTTCCTGTTAGGTCTCAATTTAAAAGAACTATGTACTAAGTATTAGATAAAACGGTCCTGCAGAGAGAACACCCATGCTGTGTTTGTAAAAGCAATCTGGATACGATTTTAGGTTTACCATTTGTGCCGGCATTTTATAATCTGAGGAATGTCTGGCAAACAGCGTTTTATTTAGTATTATGTACCATTTTACTGCTTTTTGTAATATATTGTACATTTTAAATTTGCTATGTGTTTATGTTCTATAGCATGCGTTTATCATTATAATAAAATTTGTAGAATGCATCAAAACAATTTCTCGCAAAAACAACCTGTAGTTGACAATCACTCATTTTTGATAGAATACGCCAACACGCAACTTCAGAGTCCAGCTCCCTAAATCCAACAATCTTGAGGATACAGATTTTCTGGAGAAAATAGAGTTATCCAAATCTTATCAGGTTTGTTCTTATGATTATATCCGGTTTCGCACCAGTAATTTTATTTAACCAGTAGAAATAGTTACGTTTCTTCGAAGTATTTGAACATTCATCCATTCATTCCATTTCCAAACTTTCAGATTATTCTAATACGGGATCATTTAGAAAAGAACAATGAACTAGATAAGAAATACAAGGTTGATGAATTCCACAGAATGATCTTGAAGCCTGGTGTTTTGAGAAGATGCAAGATCGACATGGCAAAAGGTATCTATTTTATGCATCCTCATAGTGTTTCAATTATGTTTGCTTGGCTATCCTTCACTAAATGATGACACAATAAAAACCTTAGCTTAGTATCAATTCATTTCAAAATTCTGGCAGCAAAATATTTCGTGCTTTCTCGAATTTTCAAAGTGTAGAAACTCATTAACGCATTCGAGTAAATTGTTCGTCTTCGAGGCTATGATCAGCGTATTCAAGTAAATTTTTCGTCTTCGAGGCTAAGATCAGCGTACTCGAGTAACTTGTTCGTCTTCGAGGCTATTGCGAAAGGTTAGATTAGACTCACAAGAGAATTTCCTGTCCTTTTATCTGCTCTTGAAGTAATTCACCTGATCGTTTGATTGAATTGAAGACTGTATACAAATACTTAAGAAGCAACTTGTGAGTGGCATCGGGTTTAATAATTGGCTAATTGCGGATTGACAGTAAGCTTATGCCGCTTTTTTATCTGATGATTGCACTTAAGTGGTCATACTATGCACTCAAGTCCTCATCTTTTCATCGAGTTTATAATTTACTGATTAATATCTTCAGCGTTTTAAGATTTATAAATTCTTGTAACTTTTTTGTTTCCTGAAGGAAATGCACTAACTTTTGAGAAAATCCGCACAATGACACAGAATGATAACAAAGACGCCGACCAGTCACTTCAGAATAGAAAAGAAGAACACGTGAGTCACGCCCGCTTTTAACTGTTACTGAGACCTTAACGTTCCGTTTACATGAGAACTGTTGGCACCGTTTCATTTGGGACCTGCTATCCGTTCTCTTTTGGCTTCGCTACAGAATTAGTTCCATTTGGAACCGTTCCATTCGGCTCTTGTGTAAACGGGCAGAACCGCTTGGAACTGAGCTAAATGAAAACGCTTAGGAAATGAGGCTGTTATAAGACGACTTTCAACAGTAATGCAATTTCCTCCTCTGTCCAAACGAACAGTCTCTTGGTGCTTGTAGCTGCCATTTTTTAAATTTCTAGCTTCTATTTCTGTTTGTTCTTGTCGAAAATAAAAATGAATCATGCGATTATCTTATTTACTGATTTTGGCGTCAAAAATTTCACATGTTACACTTCCCTCGTAACAATGCTGGGACTCTGACGAATGTAAGACGAAAGGCTTGATAATTATTTAAATGTTTGTTTCTTAAAGTCTTTCTCAAAACTATTTCTCTACATACACCGGAATTTTTAATCTTTTTTTCTTTATAGAGTTCTTATAATATTAGAGTTCTTTATAGAGTTCTTATAATGCTAGATATTTTTTCAGTTTTATTTTAAGTTGACGGTTTTTGTATTGCTTAGTTTTTCCTTCCATTTACAGTCTCTCTGCTTTCTAAATGATCAAATGTTTAATATATATTATAATTGATGTTTGAATATGTCGTTATTGCAGGTAGAAACCATTCCTGAAGAGGATGAATTTGAAGAAGTAAACATTGCCAAGGAAAAAATGAATAAACTCAAACGGCTCAAAAGTATTGATTCGAAGCATAGTACCCATGTTAATCTTGATAACATAGAAGCTATGTTTCCATCTGTAAGTTGTTAAAACTTGTGCAAAGTTTTGCTCTAGTATCTTTAAAGCAAGCAGTTCTTATACCATCACAATTGTCTAGATTATTTAACTCTCCATCGAGACAATGGAAGTAGAACCAAACTGCGTGTATGCCTCTGAAAGTTTTTATGTATTTCTTGAGCTGAATCTGATTGGTTCAAATGAAGCATTTAAATAATAGCTGTCAATAAAATACTGGCGGTTGATTTACAAGGGCTTCCTACTGTCTGGCTAACGGGTTAAACTAGAAAAGAAATCTTTATTACGCGCTGGTGTCTAAAGACGTCTTTCTGCATAGGCCAGATTTGTATGATCCTCTGGGATATTGCCTAGCAGAGCCTATGGTGTTGTTTTGATGTTGAAGGGCGTGTTTTGCTTACAGGTTCCTTACCCAGAGCTAGTTGCTGTAAATCGAAACTTCGACAGCCCCCAACCAGATGCTGATCAGGTATGAAAGAGTATACTGTTAACAATTCAAACCAATTTAAGAGCCCACGATAATCAGGGCATAAGGACGTTGATATATGAGTTAATGGTCATCAATGTGTTTTTTACTGAGACCATATAGCTATGCTCTACCTTAGGTAATTCTAGCGTAATTACGAGTGAAATTGTACATTTCTGTATTATAACTAGGGTAATTTTAAATTTCTTTATAATTACTAGGGTAATTCTACATTTCTTATGATATCTTTGAGATTTTATTGAAGAGAATTAAACATTTTCATGGAAATTCTCCGTCGTATATGATTAAAAAATTCACATTTGAACACTCGCTGTTACGAATTGTTCATGTTTAGGTTAAACTCTTCGGTGTACTTGCGATTGTTTGTTTATAACTGACCTTAGTGAAGATCTTTAAAAGAAAAGTTAATCAAATTTAATCTAATAATTATTCATTGCTTTTAGAAATCATCTTTCTCCACAATTGATTTCAGGTTGAAAAGCAGCTAAAGAGAGAAAAAGTTCGTCAGGGTACAGAGAAGCAAAGAAGAATGGTGCAACAAATGTTTCAAAGATCACAATCGTACGAGACAGCAACTGAAAGGTTCTTTTTCTGATTTGTTTCGCTTGTTTCCAATTCTTTGATTTGTTGTAACCTTTGACATCTTTCTAATTTTGATACGAAACTGATTCTCCCCTTCTGATTTCCCCGAAACTAATTCGTTTTTGTCCATTGGGGTACGTTTCAAAGCTATTTAGATTCCTCTATATAATATTGCGCTGCCTTACAGTCTTTGCCTCAAAGTACTGTTCCAGTCTATCGCAGCACTGCATTTTGCTTTATAAACTAATATTCTATAAGTATTAATGTTACTCCTTTTACTTATGAAGAAACGTTTTAGACATACTTAAAATAAGAAGCAGAGAATTCGATGCTAGTACTGCGGTATGCATCTCCTAAATCTTCGATCATGCAAGAAATCTCATTCATTTCTTTTGTTTCATTTCCTTCAGACTGATGACGAAGTACCAGCACTTCAATTTTCCAAACATGGATGAAGGAAACAGTGCTAAGGAAATTTTGGTATGTGTTGACAATTAGTTTTATACCAATGTTTACTGGAAAACCTTCAAATTGGTCTTTTTGATATGCTTATGAAGAAATTCTGTACAAATTTTGGTACATTTGCAGTAGTAAATGATATATTACTAGCTGATGCATTTTGAGATGTAAATGCAGATGTGAACGCGCGGTATTTCGTAAAAGATGGAAAGAAATTATGGCGAAAATTAAGTTTTGTTCTTTAAGCAATCTGTTATCTAAGTTTTCTTTAGTCTATTATCTAAGTAGCGTATAATATGGGACGGGATTTCAAAGTCACTGCAGCAGTTTTGCATTCTCTAAATGCCCGCTAATAGTAAATGCTGTTGACTTTATCGTGAATTGACAATGTTCATGTTTGTCTTGATTAAACTTTTATTTTTTGCATCTTTTAAAACTTAATTTTTATTTATCGCTTAGATGTCAGTACCAAAGACTCCTATTCGAGATGTCATACAAGAACCAGCGAAGAAAGAGTCTCCAAAGCTCTATTCCCGTTTACCAATGTCATCAGACTCAAACACATTTATCGACAAGTATTTAGAGTCCCTAGACGAACTTCACATTGCAGAACATTATTTTTTCACTGGTTTTGAGGAGGCAACTGAAGCCAAAGGAAAACTGCCAGGAGATTCTGGCTTAGAAAGCCAGACATCCCGTTGGAAAGGAAGAGTCCACACAGATGAGGCACTTCGAAGACAAATTTTGGGTATCAGAGAAGAGACAAGGTATTTAAGTCTTGTTATATGCGCAATATATTAAGGAAGTTGCTTTTAAATTTTTAACAGTTTCGGCGCAAATTGAGATTAATGATGGTTTATCACTAGCTCCCTCGTGCACGTTAACAGCCATGGTTTCCCTTTCATTGATTGAGATTTTAACCCTTGTCTTTTGCTATTTCAGAATGTTTATCTGTATCTTTTGGTTAATTGACTATATATTACGAATATTAAATCATTTTGAGGCGTTGATCGCCCGAAAGACCTTGATTATTTTCTTTATTTGACAATCTGTTGTTGTTAACTGAATGAATACGGGACTGCAAGTCGTCGTCTTTTGAAGTTAACGCTGCAATTATACTGGTTTTTTAAATGCTACTAAACAGCTTTGAATCAGTAATTCTTTTGAAATTCGCGAAAATTTGATTCTTGAAATAAATTTCTGCAAGTTTCTTACATTTCTAAAGGCTTTATTTATCTTTTATGGCAATGATCTCTTTAAATGTTTCTTGGCAATTTTGGTTGAATCTGTATGATCATTTGCTTTGAGGAGTCGTCTTAAGATACCAAATTTGAAGGGGATGGGTCTCTTGCTTGTTTACTTTTAGAAAATGTTCGAAATTCCTTTATTTACAATGTATGGCAGCAAGTTTAGGTGGAATTGCCACTTTGTTGTTATAAATTTAGCTTTGATACTTGTTGATAGTAAATGCCAATCACTTTTTTAGGGAACTGCCAAAGATTGCCCCTCTGACGATGTCTGCTCTAGAGCAAACAACGCCTGTTAGGGTAGGTCGGAAGTATGGTTTTATAAACTAAACTTGGAAGTATGGTTTTAAAAACTAAAGTACCATTAATAAATTGTTTAAGTTCTGTGTTCTGTGTCTGAAAATTTAACTTTTCCAGTTTTAATTATCATGAAGGAAATATTGCCATATCTAAAGAGTTTTAGATTTCAGCGTTACCTTTCAGTATCAAGTACAAAGCTGTAATCATTCTTAGTGTCTTGTCATGTTGCAAAGTAGAATTGTTATATTTGTTATATTTTTAATTATTAACAAAAATTGTAATGCTGCTACTTCTGCAGGCAGATTTGATTTTTTGTTGATTTTTCGTTCGGTTTAGATTAATTTACACTTCCTATTTCAGTTCGTCAAGGGACCAGTTTTGAATTGGGTCAACCCAGAGCTGGAGCCACTTCAGTGAGAACCAATTTTACTATGGAAAAATATTTTTCTCAGGAAACAGAATAAACCTTTCCATTTCAAGAGGAAAGAAGATCAAGAAATAGTTGTGAGCAATAGGCAGTGGTACTTTTAGTTGACAATCTTCTCGATTTGTCTTAGTACATGACATTCTTCTCGCTGAGATAATTTCTCGTTATAGAAATTTTCTATTTTGTACATTGACGCTTGCAAGATTCATTTGTATGTAGTTGAGTCCATGACACATTTGTACAATGATAAAACTTTTAGTCAATTTTTAACAGTCATATAGGGAATACACAGTCTTTTCACAATAGTTTTTGTCTTCAATGAAAGATATGTTAGTTTTATATCGTATTGTAATATATCATGCCTGTATTGTATTTTTGCATTTGCCAGAGATTTTTTAAATTTAAACAAATGAAATGATTTTAAAGGTATTTTATCACCTAGCTTGATATAGAGATAATCACTCTTGGAATCAATTGAATTGTTTTTGAGTTATCTATTCTTGTCTTTCCAAAGAAACTTTTTGCTGCCTTTATTGCAATAAAATGGCAGTAAATTTGGCGAATAACATGATGAAATAAAGTTTTCGAAAACATTGTCATAAACTTGTCAATGCCATTACATATGCATAGCATAAGAAGTCCAGTCCGAACAGTGGTGGTCGTGATAAGAAAATGTCACCTTCGGTTAAAATTCAATTTCTTACTGCAATTTAAACCTTCATGTTTTACAGCCAAAAAGAGGCTATAAAATCAAAGCACGTTGAAATGAGTTTAAACAGTGCTAGGTTTGATAACAAAAAGGTTCATAGCAACAATGGGGTTGTTCATTGCTGTAAAGATGTCACACCTTGCCTCTTACCTCTTCTTTCTTGTCGCTGGCAAAAACAGAAGTGATTGGCATTGTTTATAAAACTAAGATGCATCCGAGAAGCGATAAAATGTATGTCTGGAGCGCATCCGAGATTGTAAAGATCAAAGAAATTTGGCGCAACTGACAAGAACTTTTTCTTTACATGAACACATTTTATGCTGTTAGAATATATGTAAGACTAAATTTTTGGACTAGAGGGAAGGTAGCCTTACCACTTTTTTGGTGTCTAAGTTTCCTGCAAAGAGGTGGACCGGAGGAGATGGGTGTTCCTGGGTCATACGATCTGACATGAAGGAACTGCGTCACAAGTGATGAAGACGTACGAAGAGACAGAGAGCAAAAAGAAAAGAAGGAATGGAAGAGCAATGAGTAATCTTGTGGATGTCATTTAAAAGGATTTGGAGAAGAGGGGATGCACGAAGGAAGACGCTGAAGATCGGAAAAAGTTGAAAGAAGCGAATGAAGGTTCACTAAGAAAGACAGGAAGGCTAAGGAAAACCAAAAGAAAGAAGGAGTTCGTTTATTATCTCAGTTTTTTTCTTTTTCTATTCTTACGGGAGCCTTTTTATTATATTTTTGTAATACCATTGTGCTCGTTACAGTAACGAGCGATTGAAAGAATACGTTTTCTGCCCAGCAAGCCACTACTTATTGGTGTAGCGGACGCTAAACGTCAGGGGGCTTAAGGTAGCTGTTGCCCCAATTTTGCTGCTTTATTGAGATAGTACTGCCCTGTAGTCTGAAATGAGACAAATTTTGCCCGATTTTGCCCTGCAGTCCTTCCAGCCCCCGATGTCTCCTACACCTATGGAAAACTACTAGCAGATTAATGTTTTATCATTTCTTGAACAACCTCACTTGCTACTTCAACTGAAGTTATGATTTTAGCCTCGTTGCAGTGGAAAATTTTGATTAAGAGGCAGTCATTGTTTTGGAACATCTGGCCTCGCTGGAATTAAGCCGTATGATTTTGTACCATTGATTTTAAGTTGTTACATTTGTTTAGCTCATAAGAGCATGAGTGGAAAGCACGGCCTGAAGACAGTATTAGAACTAGATTCAAGAAGAATGAGTAACAGAAAAAGACCAAAGGTAAAAATCAAGGTTTTATGTAACCGGTTCAGGGATTGTATGATATTTTATGATCAACCATGTTTTGTTTTTATGAATTTTCTCTAAAAGACATCAGAGGGTGACGAAGAAAGAAGAAATCCTTTTCATGGTCAGACAACAACGATATTCTTTAATTAGAAAAATGACTGGTCTTCAAGAAGATGTTTTTATGTGAAGGGTTTGTTTTGAATCACAAGGTAGCAAGGGGCAGATGATCGCCGTGCAGGTGGATTTGTCGAATTAAAATTATAATTTTCGTATAGATATTTCGATATTTCATAACGATTATTCAGTTATAACATCAAGCTGTAAAATAAAACGTAAGAAAAATGACTTGATCTAGATCAAATCTCTTTTTGTACATGTGGGAGACCAAAAGCAGGTTGCAGTTGGGTTTTATTGTTTATAGAAGATGCATCCTCATTAAAACGTGATGAAGAGACATAAGTCCAAGGACACCTCATTCGTATGGGCCAAAAACAGCAGAAATCTCTAACTGAAGTATTTAAAAACAAAAAATCCCTAAAATATATTAAAGCCCTGGCAAAAGACTAAACATTTTAAACATATCACTCAAACTTTGTTTAGTAAAAAAGGTTATTCATTTTCCCATTCTGTTCATTTTCCCACTCTGTTTAGTGTTTTTTAGTTGTCTTGAATACTTTTGATCAATGTTTGATCTTTGGCAAAAATGTTGGGCACCGTTATTAGCAATGTTTAGCCAATGTTCTGTTGTTTTGCCACCAATTGAACATTTTTTGTACTTGTGCAGGCGTAGTAGCTATATGTGACGATGATTTGAAGTGAAAAGTGACTGTTAAAGAATTGAATCAATTCTGATTATGAAGAATGAAGCTTTTTTGATTCACTTAAGAAGGCAACCTGACCTAGGGAGGAAAATGATTGTAATAATGGGCTGAAAGTAGTAGAGGGCATAGGGATCACAATAGAACTGAAAAAGCTATGAACAAATTTATGCACAGTTTGGCCACATGTAAGCTCCAGTTGTCCATCATTATTTGATTTAAAAAGTATCCTGCTAAGTTTCCCATTGCCTGAACAATGTCTTAAAGCTTCAAATTAAAAAAACTTGGTTAAATGTTTATCACCCTGGCTAAATTTCAATAAACTCGACTAAACAAAATTTTAGTGAAATTGTTAGTCATTTGGGTTGGGCTTTATAACTAATAGGAAGTTATAGCTATCTCTATCATGGTAGGCTAACCATTACATTGTTGAGGGAGAGACAAACCAGCATTTGTGGAAAGGTCTGTTGGATTTTTAAAAAGATGAAGAACATTAGAGAAATGGGAGTCAAGAGAAGCATGACAATGAAACTCTAGTTTAAATGATGCACCTATGATATATGGTAGTTTTGATTGAATGGTGTGAAGAGCAACAAAATATAAACTTTGCCTTTTCCCTAGCGTGCATGCTGGTATGATGCACTTTTTCACTGGTTCAGAATAATAGCCCTAAACAATATGAATTTAGACTTCACCCCCAACAATACTGCATAAGAAAACAAGAAAGCACTGCTAACAAAATAATGTTGGATTTGTTCAAAATAAACGTGTTTTTTTCGGAACCTATTCTGACGTTTTATGCTCTGAGGAGTGTCAGACGAAAAAGCTTTAAGTATGTTGTAAAATGTTTGCTTTTTTCAAAGCCATTTTCAAAATAATGTTGGTTAAAAGCACTATGTCCAACCAGTCATTTTGACAAATTTACAAAGCTTTCTCACAGCACATCCCTCCTCCCTGGAACAAAACATTTTGGTATGCTTTACCCTCTTCCTGCTATCCAGACTACTATAAACTGTCTTTATCCAAAACTAAAATTGACAAACTTGATTTTACCTCCCCTTTTTCTTAATTTTTCCCATCTTTTCAGAATAACCAACATAAAAGGTCACATTTTTTGAGAAGTGTAGTACGTGCAATCATTTTTTTATCAGGTAGAGTACTCAGAGGTTGATGAGGGTGTCTTGCAGAGTGCAAATGAAGAAATGATTGTTTCTGAGGATGAAGAAGAATTGGCTGATCAGAATGAGCCATCTGAAAATATTGCAAAACAAAATATGATTGCTTTGAACTTACAAAATGAGGCTGAGGAAGAGGAAGAAATTGACCATTTTATAGGTAAGCTGGTTTGAAGTCATTTTTCAGATGTAACTAAGGGTAATGTCAACGGAGTTTATTGCATAACTTTCCAGGTTCTAATACATTTTATATACTGACAGAAATGTGCAATCCGTAGTTGTTTTTAGAAAGTGCTGTGGAGGTACATCGCTTTTATTGAATACAAGCAAGAAGCAAATGTCAGTTTTTGTCACCAAAAAGCACACCTCAAAGAGTCCTGAAGCTTCAAATTTTAATTCTCGTTTATTTCATTTCCAATTACTATAATGATTTATTCTACTTTGAATTTATTTTATAGAATGATAGAATGTGAATTTGTTGTTTTTAATTTCAGATCCTGTGGAAGTTCTAAAAGAAGCATCTAAAAGTAAGATTTATTTCATTTGACTTGTTTATTGTAATGTAGTTAAGTGCAATTTCTACAAAGATGTCTAACCTAACTCAATGATCAGTCATTTATAATTGTTTTCATTGATCCTAAGGGAAATTTAATAAGGCTTTAAAATTAAAATTATTGCTTTTTGTCTGGTAGGCAGGTTTATTTGGAGTTACATAATTTATAGTCAGTTACATACAATGTTTGTTGTTTAATGCGTGCAACCATAAGCACATACATAGGCACATGCCCAAAGCAAATAATGGGAGCAATTTGTTGCACGCATGAGTCAGATATTTGACCGTTGTTATTGACCTTCCTTTTCCTAGTCCTTAAACAAAGGTTGGAAGTTTTGCTTCCAGAAATTTAGCAACATTGTCTAATTCTCACAACAGCTTTTTCTGGAGAGATACAATATCATAAGCAGGCCAAAAATCTTCATAAGTGCAGCAAATATAGCACACAAAAATTCCCAATCTCAAAACCAATACCGTTTGCCATGGTGTCAAGAATAGCACCATTAAAGGCAATTTTTAACAATAATTTCTATGTCATTGAAAATTTCACTGTTTACAATGTTTTCTCCATCAAAAACTTTGTTCAACAATTTTTTGTGAGCATTAGTTTCATCAAACACATTTTTGTTATTTAGTACTTTCCTGAAAAAATTGAAAATTAATTTGCAAATTTGCAACAATTTTTGGGGCTTGATGTGTTTTCCCATATTTCTATGGGTAGATTGTATTGCGGTTTCTTTTCTTTTCTGAGCCTCTTTTTTGAGCCCTGGGTGTTGTGCTAGAATTTACCACTGGAAAGAGTTCCTTAAATTGTTTGTATGAATGGGCTAATCAGTTTGCTTTGTTAAAATTCCACTGGTAAGAAAGCTGTTTTGCGGCAGCAGTGCTAAAACATTTTCATTCCTCTTTTTGCCAAGACTGTCTGTCATTTCATGTTAATTTTTCATTTTTGTTCCTTTTACTTACTTTCTTTTAATTTGTATTTAATTGCGATAGAAACAAGTAAAAGTAACAAAATCAAACTGCGAACCATAGTGCATATCACCCTCAACATAAATTAAACCAATCAAAAAAATTATCATCTTGAAGATGGGATGGGAATGATTCTTTTATATGATTAGTTAAGTTATAAAACTATGCACAATCCAAAAGTTAACACAGTCTGAAAGTAAGTGTAAATTTTAATTCCTGAGAATTAATGCAATGCTGAAAGGAAGCACTGAATAAATTAAGGTTTTTGAAAAAAAGCCAGATAGGTAACATAGGCTCTGATGCAAGTTGGAAAGTGGGGGAGGGGCAAGGGCAGATTAAAAACACAAAAAAAACTTTTTAAAAATATCTTCTGTTTTAGAAAAAAAGAGGAGGGCATGATCCCTTGGCCCCTTGCTGTTAGGGGCCTTGGGTAATAATATGAATCGCACGCATGAAATATATTATGTGATTTACACACGACAATATCTTTATGACAAAGACTGGTCATACATCCTTTACCAAGACAAATATTGAATCAAGGAACATTATAAAAGCTACAGAATTACTTCTCGTAATTTTTTCATCATACTGATTATTGCTATGGATGTAATGTTCCATTATTTTCAGCCAACAAAGGGGCAAACAAGGTTGTATGTTCCCTCCTAAAATACAAGAAAACAGGCACATTGATAAATTTTTGTGCCCTATTCATAAGTTTGCCTTTCTATCCTTTTCTTGTGCAGGGGTCCCTGATCTATGTCACGGTTTTGTTTTTGGCTTTTATATTTTTTATAACAAACATTTAACTTTTTGTTTTTTATGAGCTTTGTATGTATGCTAGCATCTCCATAGAATGGACAATGTGTTGTGGCAATTAACATATAAAGCAGGTATTATAAAAATGACTGATATAAAATATCGTACTATTTTAGGAAATCAGACTTTTCTCCAGCCTTTATCAAAATGTTATTTTGTTATCATAGCTTTAGAAGGAGCAGCATTTGCAAGCAGATTACCAGCTGAGAAAATGACTGCCCAAGAAATGACCTGTTTCCAAGATGTAATTTCAGGCCCTCCACAGCTACAGAAGAAGTTTTTGTTCATCAGAAACCGTCTGGTATGTGTTCCAGAAATTGTTGTGTTTGGAATATGCACTTGTTTGTTACGGGCATTTTATACATCATGTAAAAACATTTTGTTTGTTTCTCAATTGTCTGCTTTTGCTGTCTTTACCATTGAGATACACAGATGCTAATATTCCACAAGTTTGGATAGAAATAGAAATGTGCATTTTTTTGCTCAGAAAAATCTTCATGGCTTAAGTTACCTAAGATTTATTTATTAAAAGTAAAATTGCAAAATTATTTCTTTTCTGTACAGCTGCAGCTTTGGATTGAAAGCCCTAGACAGGAACTGACTTTGGAACATGCTCTGGCAAAAGTAGAGGGAGCCTCAAATGGTTAGTATATTCATAAACTCGTAACCAAGTTCTGGTGAGCAATTAAGCAATAATTTAGTTTAGCATTAGGAAATTTTTCTTACAGTGTTTTTTAACAATTCATAAAAACTAATAACGAAGGAGAGGCCAAGAACGTGAATATCAAATCTTTTTTTAAGATTCTTGATATCTCTGGGGGTATTGTATGCCATAAAAACCAAATCTTAAAGTTGTATTTTATCTTAAGAATTAAAATATTTGGACCGTTTTCTAAGTAGTACTTTTTCTAAGTAGTATTGTCCAGAGCTGGACAAGAAAATTACGATAGTGACATTTTAATGAAAACCTTCGATTTTTCAGATGAAGACAGGATGCTTGTCGATCGTCTACACGCATTTCTTGAAAGATATGGCTTGATTAACTTTGGAGTCTATAAATTCTTGAAAGCAAGACCACAATGTAAGTTTTAAATAAATGTATTAATACGGCTGCCTGATGATTGCATCAAAACCTGAAACATGGTGTTGCAACTTTCATGTTCTATAAACCAAAGCAAAACTTGTATTTTTCAATGATACTTTCAACCAGCTAAGTGCGTCTTTGGTAAAGTTTGGATTAAACAGTAAATTAAGACTTTCTGAGATTTGAGCTAGATTGGCTCGAGAAAAGGATGAAATAATTATCAACTTGTGGCATAGTTTGATGGTGCTATTATTAAAATTTATCGTTTTCTTGTGCAATCTATTGATATTTATAATAAATCCTAGCGATTGCTCTCTTCCCAATATGTTATTTTACTAAAAAGAAGCAAAAAATCAAATTTTTTTGAGTTTTTTAATGATTTCCTAAAAAGTTACTAAATTGCCTCATATTCTTTTTGTTTTTATTGCTCCCTTCAATGTGACTCGTTGGTACCTTTGTAATGTAGCTTTTATTACTGATGAAGCCATTTAAAGTCTTGGTTTAACTCCTAGTGAAAGTTCCACCTAAAATAATTGTGATTGGAGCTGGAATATCTGGACTCATCGCTGCAAGGCAATTGCAATCATTTGGCTGTGATGTCGTTGTTCTTGAAGCAAGGGTTTGTTAATTTTTTTTATTTTCGTTGAATGCTTATTGTATAGCTTGCTGTCTTGTTTCTTCCAGCATTAAAATGTTTTGTATGAAAAGAGAGCTCTTAGTTAAGATGCTTCTATGGCGTACAGATTAAACTATATTAATTGTTGATTGGCTATTCTAATATAAGGCTGTGAATGTAACATGCTCTTATGAATGAATGAAAATAGCTTCTAAGTATTCAAGCAAAGTTCCAAAATTCTCTAACCTACTTAAGTTGATTTGATATACATATATGGGAACTGAAAAGGTAGCGTTAACATAAAAACTGAAAACTTACAAGAAATTAAACAAACAACAAACAACATGAATGAATTCTAGAAAGAAGCAATTTTTTGTTTGTTATGATTACCTGGTAACCTTTATATTGGCTTAAGAATTATATAAAACTGTTGAAAATTGTAATCCTAATTTCAATCAATTCGCCAACAAATTAATTCGAGAAAACACAATCAATTTTATTATATCATCGAAAGGACTGTCCTAAACTTGGCAGTACAGTTTGCAGCGTTGTCGTCTAGATCCTTATTTGTGAGAAAGAATTATGATATTTTATAATAGAGAAGCCCTGTATGGCAGATCTTCCTGTATTGTTTTCGGCCATTCCCTTCATTGAGGCCCTTACATGCCTCTCATCTACAGGTTCTTGCGCTCTTTTCTCTTCTTTCTTTAATTGAATTTTTAAAATGTTAAATTGTAAGTGCCGTTAGTAGTGGGACCAGATGACGCTTTATCATTTCCACTGCAATCGACATTTTTAGATGCTTAGTTGCTTGCTGTAATATATTTTATCGTTGATAAATTTATTTTATCCAAAATGTATTATTTTCCCTTTCTGTAAAAGGAGCGTGTAGGAGGTCGCGTAGCAACAGTTAGGCAAGGTCAATATATTGCAGATCTTGGTGCTATGGTTTTAACAGGTCTAGGTAAGATATGATAAACCATCAGCTTTTCATGATTTCTAATATTTGTTACGTCATAGATTATGTGTTTTATAAAGCGAAAACAATGTGTTGTGAGATTTAAATGATTTCCACGATTTAATTTAAACTCAAAGGGTATTCTGAGTAATCAGCAACAGTTGTTGCGAGTAAGTCTTTTCATGTTTGGTTTTGCCCTGACTTCGCCTATCCACCCATCAAAATCTTGATTATTGTTCATCCCTGATACAAAGAACTATACGAGAGACAAAGAGGTGCAAATGACACATGACGGTCGCTAACATGTGGTTCATATAGTTTTTGGAGACTCGAGTCAATGGAAACTGGATCAATGGGACATTGCTTTGAGACAAAGATTCCTCCTGTGTGTTGCTCTGTTTCTACTGTGTGTTGCTCTGAATCTCCATTTCAAGACAATCGTTTTTAAAATCAGTGTCTTTCAAATCGCATAATTACGTTATTCGTAAATACATAATTGCACAACGTAATGTTTTTCAAATAATTTACTTTCTTGTCCCAATCATGAATCACAATTTTCAATTGTAAGTTAAGCAATATTACGTTTTAGGTGGAAATCCCTTGACAATTATCAGCAACCAAGTGAACATAGAGCTGCACAAGATTCGTCAAAGATGTCCACTTTTTGAATCAAATGGTCTCATCGTAAGTATTTTACTGATTTCAGCCATTGAACTAGTGACTTTGAAGTTAGCAATATGTCCGTCCTTATCATATAGTGATTCGTCTAGAGTGTCATGATAATGACCATTTGTGAGAAACTAAAGGGAAGGGAAACGTTATCATTGTAATTTTTTGTAATTTAACATCACCCTCTGACCTGTTTAAGTTGAGCTACTCTAATTGGAACGTTGGCCGAAGTCTACTTGCGTCTAATTTCATCAGTGTTAAACTTGTGATGTTGCTCTTGGCAGGTTCCCAAGGATAAAGACGAACTAGTAGAGAGAGAATTTAACAAGCTGCTTGAAGCGACAACTTACGTATCACATGTGCTTGATTTTAATTACATGAACGGGAAGCCATTGTCACTTGGACATGCTTTGGAACTTGTGATCAGGTAAATCATTTTCCTAACAAACAAATAATGACTATCTTCAGAACAAGATAAGTGTAAGCAAGTCATGGTACAAAAAGTCGGTGTACCCTGATATGCTGTGTGGTAATGATCTATCTATCTATCTAAGTACCATGTCCCTTGTGGACGTAGGCGACCATGGATTTCCACAACTTTCTGTCCTTACAGGTTCTTATCAGACTCTGGACCTTATACCTTCCTTGCTGTTCCTCGGGAACTTGATCTTGCATCCACTTGCTGAGACTTGTCAGGTAGTTCAGCCGAGGTCTTCCCCTTCCTCTCTTTCCTTCTATCTTGCCTGTGATAATAATCTCTTCTAAACCCTCTTTTCTCATGATATGCCCAATGAATTCGGCCTGTCTCTTTCTAATCATTTTATTTAGCTTTCTTTCTTCTTCGGCTCTTTTCAATACTTCTTCATTTGATATATGGTCCACCCATGATATTCTCAACATCCTTCTGAGGAACCACATCTCAACGGCTTCGATCCTGCTCTCCATACCGGCTGAAATTGTCCAGCATTCGCTGCCATATGTTAAGATAAAATAAACATAGCAGCGTAGAATCCTTTTCCTAGTTCCCAACGACATTTTTCTATCTTTCAACACTCTCTTTAACTTCTGAAAAGCTTGCTTAGACATCCCAATTCTGCGCTTGATCTCGGAGTCGCATTTTCCATCGTCTGTTATTAGGCTGCCTAGGTAATTGAATGACTTTACTTGCTTTATTTCAGTGTCCTCTATTTTTAGTCTGCATAGCTGGTCAGATTGCTTGCTAATTACCATACATTCTGTCTTTTTACAATTGATGGTTAAACCTTTTTTCTTACTTTCTTCTACTACCTTAGTCAGAAGATTTTGTAGCTTTTCTTCAGATTGGGCTATTAAGACCGTGTCATCGGCGTACCTCAAGTTATTGAGATTATACCCACCAATGATGAAGCCTTCCATGCCTTCTATCTCCCTTAAGATCATCTCGCTGTAGATATTAAAAAGATCTGGGGAGAAAACGCATCCTTGGCGAACTCCTCTCTGGATTTTGGTAAAGTTACTTCTATCGTTTCCAATTCTTATACATGCTGTTTGTTCCCAATACAAGTTTCTAAGAATTCGTATGTCTTTCCCAAATAGATCAAAACATTCTAGCAATTTCAGAAGTTCTTCATGTTTTACTTTATCGAAAGCTTTTGTTTAGTGGATGAAACAAATATACAGGTCTTTTTGCGTTTCTATGGCTCTCTCTGACATCGTACGTAGCATGAATATTGCGTTCCTTGTGCCTGCGTCCTGGACAAAACCACATTTTTCCTCTCCAATCTCAGGCATAATTCTACTTCTTGCTCTTAACATAATTATCCTGAGCAAAATCTTGATGATATGACTCATTAGGCTAATGGTTCTGTGAAGCTCACATTCTATTGCCCCTGTTTTTTTTGGAGAGCGATGAAGATCGATTTGCTTAATTCCTCTGGGATTTCTCCAGTATCATAGATTTCGTTTAAGCATTCCGTGAGCTTCTGAAGTCCGAAATCGTCCAATGCTGAAACCATTTCTGCCACGATCTCATCTGGTCGTGCCGCTTTGTTGTTTTTCATCTTTGACATGGCTGTGCGCACTTCAGTTATTAGAATCTTCGGACCATCGATGTTTTTCTTAATAACTGGCTTCTCGCCCCTATTATCTTGGAAAAGATCCCCAATATACTCGGTCCATCTTTCCAGCATTTTTTATTTGTCCATGATGAGGTCGCCATTTTTTGCTTTTATACAACCTGAAGATGAGCATGCTTTTTTCCCCATTATTTCTTTTATCTCATTGTGCATTATTGGTGGTAATGATAGTGCTGTAATATTGTTGGTTAACCTTGGACTGATCAGATGAAGTTGCTTTGCATTGATAGATATTTTTCTTCTGCCCAGAAGCAACTTCTGCGAATTTCATGCATTTGGCTTCATTTTCGTCCTTTAAGCTAAATTGATTTTCTTCTTTGGTTGATTTATATTGATTCACTTCCTTTGTTCAGAAATTTGTTTGTTTTTGTCAAGGTTAATGGAGAAGCAAGTAAAACTCGAGCAATGCAAACATGCCAAAGCAATCCTAGATCACCAAGGAAATCTAAAAAACGTCCAAACCCAGGTAAGCTCGCCAGAACAAAGCTTGTTGCTTTTGCACGGTATTTGTTATTTCAGTGGTTTTACAGGTTTAAGATTTTGCTACAGACATCAATAAATTCAATACCTGTACTGTAAGAGTTTATGTTTTGATTTTTATAAAGTTTCCTCTTGAAAATATTTTTATAAACCATTTTGCTGACCTTACGCCATACTTTTAAGCGATTATTCTTATAGTGGGTCTTGGTACAATATTTTCTTATGGTGTATATCTTTCATCTTCACCAAATTTACACAAAGGACTAATCAAATCGCAATTAGTAAACTTTGTCTTGGACTTTTAGAGGCGATAGTCTCTACAGGGTATTGAAGTTGCTCGATATTGAAAATCTTAACATGGCAGCATTATCTCTTAGTTTTTAAGGTTATATTTGCTCACATTAGATTAGTTAAGATTAGATTAAGCTGGATAGATTTGTTACATATAATATGAACAGGGTTTGTAAGTAGCATCAACGGGCCTTCAGATGATTTGGCTACATAAGAACAAATTCGCTACATGGTGGTCCATGCCTATCTTTCTTGTTGCTTTATGTTGCACTTGTCTTGTGTTCTAGCTTATAAAAGTTCAAGAATCTATTAAAACTACTCACAAAGAATGGACGGTTGCACAGGAAAAGAAACCACCGAGGTATCGGCTATGAATATTACTTTGAACTGTATCGTTGTTCTTTTAGTTGTTTTAATTGCTGTGCACCACATCGTCTTTCGTCGTATGTTATTGCTCAGTCCGTGAAAGTTTGCCTCAAGAAATCATACACGGTTCTCACAGTATTTTATCATATATCGTTTTAACTTTGTTTAGAGATGTCACTGATGAGTTTAAAGTGAGAAGTAAATATCGGGACTTGTGTGCATTATTCAAGGTTTGTATTGTGAATTAACGTTTAATAATGTTTTTAATGTTATCATATTTTTTCTTATCACTGCTAATTACGTGGTTTGAAAACTGATATATAATTTTTATAGAGCTTATATAACTTTGTTTTTGAGCACTTTGTTTATTTTCACTGATGATGATATTTAATGATTAAAGACATAAGGACAATATTTGGACCCTCAGTGCATTCATGACCGGAAATTTAGTACTGTTTGCAGCGATATTTCAATGTTAAAACTCTGTTGCTGGAATCTGAAATGCTTGGCAAAAGGCTTGGAACACTTACGTCAGTTTCCAAGGTCAAAATCAATTATCCACCTCTCCCCTACGGAGCAATGTTGGTTTACTTTGAAACGGGTTAGGATTTTAGGAAGCACTTTCTTTTGCGCTTCTTTTGTGATATTTCTCTAAATTATCAACATTGTCCTAGGGGGAAGAGGACGGAAGTAGTAACTTTTTTCGGAAAAAGAATAAAATATTTAAAATTCAACGCAAATTGCTGGGTGTTTCAAGTACTTTTGGCAGGCATTGTACTTATGAAAAATACTATAATAAAATGCTTGTTTTTATAGGTTGCGCTTCTTGTTTTAATTTCTTTTTTTGAATTAGGAATACGATGAACTGGTTGAAAAGCAAAAGGAATTGGAGACCAAGATATCGGATCTTGAAAACAACCCTCAAAGGTATGGCTCCGTTGCATTGAACGTGCCGATAGAAATCTTTTTTGGGCAGTTCTTATCGCCATAGTCAGAGAAGAAAACCCCATTCTACTTTGCAGCTAGCTCTATCCATTCAATTATTTCCAAAAGCTAATATCCCCCTCCCCACATCGACATTACTATTTTATCCTTACCTCTTAAAGACTTACTGACTTTAATTGTATACTTTTTGCAAGTAACTAACACTGGCCAGCAGGGGAGGGGGAGGGGTTGAGACAAATTTGAAAGAATGATGGTAACTTAAGGGCTTGATTGCTTGGAAGATTCACTGTGGGGCTGGGATTTCACCCTTCCTACCCGAGGCGAAAATATGGGTACTAAAGTGTTTCAATCATTTTGGGCAAGATTTGTAGATACACAGCTCTTCTCGTGTCTATTTCGCTGCACCTTTGATTATCTCTCTGTAATTTCAAAATTTGAATAGCCTTTCCTTTGCTTAAAATTCTTTGTTATGTCTTTCAGCGATGTTTACTTGTCATTACGCGATCGTCAGATCCTGGACTGGCATTTTGCTAATCTAGAGTTTGCGAATGCAACGCCCCTGAGCGCTTTATCTCTGAAGCACTGGGACCAAGACGATGATTTTGAGTTCACCGGAAGTCACATGACTGTAAGCAATGGCTACTCCTGTGTTCCTGGTGCTCTTGCGGAGGGGCTGGACATCCGTCTAGATACGGCTGTAAAGCATGTAAAGTATCACAGATCAGGTAAGCGTTGCTATTAGTATTGTAGTGTTTGACAAGGAGTGTATCACTTTATCTCAATACGTACATTAAAAACGTTTAAAAGTAAATCTATGTCAAAGAATTGAACGAGTGTTTGTATGACTTATCAAGTAGTTGTATGACTTATCAAATTCCATAAAGACTATTCCAGTATATTAAAAACTTTTTTTGTTTCTCAGCTTGAATAAGGTGTTTAAATACAAGCTGTTTAATTAAGGAAGGACAGCTTGTAAATGTATAGGTTATTCTTTATTGGTGTTTACTGTATTAGGCAGTAATTGATTGCACTTGCAGAAGAATAAACATAGGAATCTACAACCTTGTAACGTGTTGATTTTTCAATTCTGGACATTTGGTAAACGACAACTTTGACAAAGATTTCCTCAAAGTATTAACTCTGGTGTAAGGCAAGAGATCCGAACGATTTTCAAGACGATAATCCTGCCTCTCAACTCCTGGCATTAAAAAATGAGTGCTTATGAAGTTTTAAGTTTGGCACTTTTGCCTGTTGTTTAAGTAGTTTTAGGCAGTTATATAAGATTGATTCAACATAATTCAACATATAGTTTATTCAACATAGAAGGGGAGGTTAATAGAAAGACGACTGTATTAATTCCATCTCCAGGAGTTGAAATCACAGCTGTCAATCATCCGAAAAGCTCGATGGGTCCAACGCAGACATTCAAAGGTGATGCCGTTTTAATAACTTTGCCCCTTGGGGTTTTGAAGCAGCAGACACCTCCGGCGGTGAATTTCAACCCACCATTACCTGACTGGAAATTGCAAGCAATCGACAGAATGGGATTTGGCAATCTTAACAAGGTGATTTTCTATTTTCGTGCATTTTATGTTTCAGTACGAAACTAGGAGCAAAATCAGTAAACTGACTGCACTTTAAAAAGGCAGTGGCACTGAGGCTTTATGGTCGTATTAAGCATGAAACTCGGAGTGAAAACTTAGAACTGTCCTGTTCGTGGCAACACCGCCAAATTGCGTTTACAACTCTGCCTAAACGGTATCGAGTACTTTATGACAGACAGGTAAACAGTAATTTTCATCATAGACAATTCAAATGCAGATTCTTGTCGTAACTGGAAGACAAAACGTTTAGTTTGGTTTTTATCGAGGTTCTTCTTAAATTAGTATTCTTATAATTATAAATTTTCATCTTTGTCATTTATAAATAATCCAATACATCCTGCCTTCAATGCCTTGTACAGGTAATCTAGAGATGAAAAACTCTTTGAAATGCTTGTCATCCCTGTTTCCAAGCATCCGCTACAAGAGCGCTTCTAATAATTAACAAAACTTTCAAGTTTCAGGCTGCCAACCTTTCTATTGTATTTACTCGAACAGAATACAGAAGGCACAATTCATGCCGTAGTCCCTATTAATTGATATGTTTTTATAACTCAACAATTGAACTCTATTGTAAAAAATCAAAGTTTACAGAAAGCTATAGTAGATTTGATATACAGAACTCGATGGTTCTGACAAAGATTCATTCTTTCACGCTTTATGCGATTACCAGGCAAGTTAAATTTTGTCATTTATCTTTCTCTTCCCATAATTTTGCAGGTTTATTAGCATCTTATGATTCCCTATTTTTCCCGAAGGTCGTCCTTTGCTTCGATCGCATTTTCTGGAATCCCAACACGAACCTGTTTGGTCACGTTGCTAGTGCCACAGCCAATCGCGGCGAGCTGTTCTTGTTCTGGAGCATTTACAAGGCCCCAATTCTGCTCGCCCTTGTTGCTGGTGAAGCGGCAAACAAAATGGAAACATACTCAGATGAAGTGATAGGAGACAGAGCCATAGCTGTTTTGAAGGGAATTTTTGGTGCAAATACAGTTCCTTCGGTAAGTTATCCATCTTTCCAAATCCTGGATAATGTGAGCAGTGGCACGCTATTTTTCTTTTAAGCACGCGACACTAATTGGTCAACTATACCGGTCTTGTGCTTGTGTTTTTCTGATTGGCCTATTTCGATCCACAACTGGGTATCTATTTTTCATCGTGTTCTTTCGAACCCTTATTCTGACGTTTTATGCTCTGAGGAGTGTCAGACGAAAAAGCTTTTAGCCGATAAGTAGTAAAATGTTTGCTTTTTTCAAAGCCATTTTCAAATCCTTGATAACTTTTTCTTTTTATCATCGAATAAAAACAGGAATTTAAGAGGTTTATTTGAAGGACATTCTTCACTGTGACAACTCTCTTGCCTGGCACTCAAAACACTACCGAAGTTGACCGAATGGAAAACAGCGAAGATCCATAATCGAAGATGCCTGTTTTTAACGACTTGGCAGAAAAAGCTTCTTTTTTGGCGCTGGTTTTTGATTATATATCTAGTAAATGTCGTACAGAATTCTTAGTATGATCACTTCTCAAATCATTCAACATCCAATGTTTGAAGATGCCTGTGCCAACCAGTTTATCCAAAAACGTTTGCTTGGAGGCACGGAGCCTGGATATTTTTGGCAGTAAATGTCATATTTTTAAAAAAAACGCAGGTTCAAGTAAAACTCACCAAATCTCTTCACAAAGAAACCCAATGCAAGGTTTAATTCAGAATCGTTAAAAGAACTTTTTGAAAAGCTTACGCGCACAAGTACATGCCAGTATATTTAGTACATTTCTAGGTACATAGATGACAATGTATACAACCAATTTTCAAAAACAGAATACCAAAGATTCTTCCATCATAGTTGAAGAGCTTCTTCCTTTTCCTCCTGATCTTTGCAATAAATTATAAACACTGCAAATATTTATTTATTTTCTGATTACGCGCAGATCTCTTCTACGAGTTTGCATTTAAGACAACACGATAAAATTCAACACGAATACATTGCAAATTCAATTTCTTTTACGAATTTAATTTCTAATATTGATATAATTTAAAATCGAACACTCCAAAGATTAATATCTCGAGTGTTTAACATTTGCTGCAAAACCTAAATTGAAGGCAAGCATGGGATTTTGCATTCCTGAAAATTACAGAACTTAAAGATTGTTAGCTTTCTTTTCGGGACTTCCAAGAAATTACGAAAGTATATTAATGTCTTTACAAAGCCTCTCTGCCATTCCAGAAATCGATACCTCACCGTCATGCCAAATTTCTTAGGGTTTTTGTTGCGTATGGAAAACTACCTTATTTAATAAATCGGGCTGGCTTTTTTTAACTCTTCAAGTAAACAGTACATCAAGGGTCAATTTTGTGCATTGTGCACAAGACAGTGCAAAATCAGACCTTTGATGTCCAGAAAAAACGAAGTCGAATGTACCATTATTGCAAGGTCCTTCCTTTATGGTTTTAAACTAACAAAGGGTGCTCAGCGGCTGTCAAAGGCCTCACAGTTCATTTTTCTCTAATTTCAGCCGAAAGAAGTTATTGTGACACGCTGGAAATCCGATGAATGGTCACGTGGATCTTATTCTTACGTTGCAGCTGGTTCTTCGGGGAATGACTATGACATCATGGCAGCGCCGGTTGCACCTCCACCGAATCCGGGTATACCAATACGACCCGGATCGAACATGCCTCGGGTTTTCTTTGCAGGGGAACATTCAATACGCAACTATCCGGCTACCGTTCACGGGGCTTTGCTCAGCGGCTTGAGAGAGGCGGGTAGAATAGCGGATCAATTCCTTGGACCGACATTTGAAAACAGTTATACTGGCTCATCAATGACCTGAAAAATAAAGCATTTTACTAAAAAAGACAAACAGTTACACCGTTTTTCAACGTGTTTTCGTATAAGATGCTGCTTGAAGAATATCTTGAGAAAAATTCAAACTTTCGAGGGATTAGTTGTAATATTTCATTGTTTATTTGTAAAATAAGAGTAGAAAAGATATATGAGGAATTAGTGATAAGTATCAAAAGTAAAGACATTTATGACAAAGAAAATTAGTGTCAAACCTACCACTTTATTGATCGATAACTTTTTCAGAACATTCTCTATAGAAATCGAAGAACATCCAAAGTTTTAATCCCCTGTTAAGTCGTACAGTAAAAATCGCCGAATTTTATATTGCTAAATTTTATGTAGTACACACCAATTATGTGCTTTGAAGTGGTGAAAATTTCTTTTACCTCACGATGGCTGCCCATTCGTTTAAGTCTGAGAAGCTTCCAGCAAACCGGTTTTAGAAAGCAGTCCAAAAGAATGTTAAGCAGCTATAAATCCCAAGGCAGCTCCTTAGGGGATCTGTTCTTTGTTGTTGAATTCTTTGTAAATACGAGCTAACTCTACCATAAAATTTATATGGGCAGCCGGCCATCAGATAAGATTGAAGTTACATTCCGAAGTTGTTTTCTCTGTAAGACATTTTAAAATTCAATTATTGTTTTTTTTAACTGATATCGACAGACTTGTCTCTTCTGGTCCATTCTTCCTTTTTACTCAATTCAACATCAAAGAGTTTTATTGAATTCCTTCTTCGTGATGTCGTTCGGAACAGAAGACAATATCACTGATTGTGGTAAGAGAGGTTCTTTTATATGGTTCGGAATGGTGATATGCCATGAAAGGTCCCGTAGAATCGACAAAGAACAGCATGGTTATTACCTATTGTTATTGTTAAATTGCGGTGCAGACTTTGTACTTTGTGTTAGGGGCCAGAGGAGTTGGGTTGAACTGCTCACGACAAAATTATACAGTGGAATAGATAAAATGGGATGCCTAATTACCCAGTGGCTTGCTGGATGCTAGATAGCGGAAGACAGCTGTCCCATGACAGATAAATGTGTAGCAAGGATAGCCTCAAGCTGATGAAGTTTCGAAATTTTATCACGCTATGTTCACGTTTCTACACACAGACATTTGGATGTTGTTGCAGAATCTGGGCACTCTTCTTCATATTTGGTTTTCCTGTAACACTCTCATTAACTACAAAAATTACTGTACCTATCATGTCCATTGTGCACTAAATCCAAAAGGAACAAAAACAATATCAAAACTCGAGATCCTACATTCACTATGCTTACGTAAAATTTCAAGTAACAAGTTTGCATTTTTGACATAAAATTCGACGGTTAATCGATCCTCCCTTTTTTCTTATCCACAATTTATTTGCATGCAGTTTCACCGAGATGTCAAGTCACCAGTACAATAATATTTTCTACATCGAGTGTCGAATGTTAAAATCGCAAGTATGCCACAATTTTTTGCTCTTTGGGTCATTTTCTTACAGCACATTACAGTTACTGGACTCTACTTGACCGAACCCCAAAGCAGTGCAAGACATTACAGCCTTCGCGGGGAATGTAAAAACCATTCATTCGAAAACATTGGTACCATTCACAAATTGTCAACTATTGCCAATCGATCATTAAATATCACTACATTTGCGCTCAAACCTTTAACTCATTTACAAAAGAAAACAGCGTCAAGTTGCCAATTCAAGCCCACATAAAAAGGATAACGTTAGAAGAACTTTCGGACCATTTTACGTAACAAACTCGACGATTTTGCCGACCAGCTAATTAGAAACAGAATTTAAACTCATCGTCTGATTCCGTAAACATAAGCATGACTGAAGCATTTGGTTATTATTTCCACTATTCCGCCTGAAGTGTTTAAGCAAAAAAATTTTGCTTTACTCAAGCGCGGTGCAATAATTTATAAATTTCCAACACCAGCACATTGTGGTGATAACCCAACAGCATGTCTGCAGTAGGAGTAGTGATTATACTGTTTGAATAAAAGTTTCAAATGCAGACCTGCTAAGGTACTACAAATGGCCCTTGAGGATTACAGATAAATAGGAAAAGTCTTTCAAATACTTACCATCTAGCTTCCATCAACAACAAAGTCTAAGCATAAGCCAAATTCTCATTATTTTCAGAAAAATACCCCCAAATCACCATGCCAGCATTTTCATTTTAAAATGAAGAATGCAAAATAAATTCAAAACATTATTCCAAACAGAAAACTTGAGTGAAAAGATGTATTTCATAAACCAAAATGAAAAGCAATGAGGATAAATGAATCGAAAACTGGAAAAATGTTTGCGGCATCCATGGACTGAATACATAAACTTTAAACAGAACTTGATAAAATTGGATTTATTTATCAATCCAGAATTTGCAGAATTTCTAAACAAATGAAGAGATATTGAAGAAACATGAAACTGGTTTTAAATGCTACAATAACTAAGCTGTCTTTGTAAACAGATTTTCAAAAAAATTCTAAGAGCTTCTTTGATATGGTTCCGAGATGTTAAAAATAGATCTTTAACTGGCTAATTTACCATTTTGTCACACAGATAAAAGGAGGTTAATGAGTTTTGTATCAAATCTGTAAATATTCGGTTTAAATCAAAATTTCCACTGTTTACATACTTCTTTCATTCCCACTTGTTTTAATAAGACCAAAGTACAATACAGAATGTACTGAAATAAACTCAGTTCAAAGTTTTGAGCCGCATTTTGTTTTATTGAAGCAGACTTTGACATATTTCATTTTCTCTAGTTTTTCTCCATTTTTCGTTCCTGTTTTTAAGTCTTTTGGTTCTTTGAAAAAGACATGGTTCAAGTCTTTATGAAAACAAAAATTTGCCAGGCAGGTGTTTCATCTATATGTTTTAGTCTTGTTTTGCACAAACAAATACTAAATAGAGGACCAACACCATCAATCTCCTATTTCCACTGTTGACCATAAGAATCTTGGTACCATTCCTGGTTTCCACTACCACCACCATATCCATAATAGTTTCCTCCATCACTTTGACTTAATGGCTTCTGTGCTATTGGTTGAGGATTCCAGCCACCACCCTGTTCTCCACTATACTGCCTCTTTGGCTGGTTTGGTTGACTGTTGTCCATCTTTCTCTTCATTCCAGCTCCACTTGGTGCTCCTCTTCCACCAGATGGACCACCGCGTCCACCAGACATTCCACCTCTTGCACCTCCCCTTTGACCTCCTCTTTGGGCACCTCTACTACCCAAACCAGTAGGTCCACCTCTTGCACCACCACCTCCTCTCTGCCCCACACCACGTCCCCCTCCACCTCTACCTCCAGTACCTCTACTAGACATACCACCTCTACCTCCTCTACTACCACTATCATAATATGAATCATATGACTGATCACCACCACCTCCATAGTAATCATCATAGTAGCTGTCACCGTACCCACCACCATATCCTTGGTCACCGTAGCCTTGGTATCCCTGATCATAGCCCCCATAACCACCTTGGTCATAACCTCCACCATAAGAATCATATCCCCAATCATCGTATCTCCCTTGACCCCCTCGCATTCCTACTCCTCCTCTCATTGGTGAGCCTCTCATACCACCCCTTGGTCCACCTCTTGTCATCCTCATAGGTCCAGACTTTGCTGCATTTAAAGCACCAAACCCAGACATACCCCTCCTTCTTTCCTTTTTATCAGTTTGTGGTTTTGCCAGGGCAACTTCAATCTTTTGCTCATCAATTTCTTGTCCATTCAGTTCTTCAATAGCCCTTACAGCATTTTCTCTTTCCTTAAAATGGATAAAGGCATAATCTTTGATTTTTTTCACTTTCTCTATCTCACCATACTGTTTGAAAAGCTCAGTTAATTTGTCCTCATCAGTGCTTGGGGTGAGATTTCGCACATAAACAACTTTCACCTGAAAAATAATTCATATTATTTATTTGAAGTCAATGAAATAACAAATCCTATACAATGTATATGATCCCAGTTCCTGAAAAGTAAGTTGACAAGTATATAATAAAGAATTCAAATAATCTTTTACGAAAGCTTCTAAGTTTGAATAATAGTATGCAAATAAATTTTTACTATCACAGGAATGTATAATTCACAACTCTTATTTACTTACAATTCTTATATAAATATATACATACAAATAAAATTTATAAATTTGTTGGAAACAGATCTGTGGTGAGCTTTGAATAAGAAAGAGTAAGAATGTACAAATATTAATCACCGTTTGCATTATTTCATCATCTGGTTCCTCTTGTGGATCAGCCCAATCAACTGTTGGTGTTATATTACCAAAGACTCTGATCTTGCCACTCATTAACCTCCTTCTCGCCAATGAAGCTGATTTGTGACTTTCGTATTGTAAGAAAGCAAAGCCTCTGTTCTTATTCTTGTCTTCTGATGATATGTACACAATGACATCAATAAGTCCTTCTGTCACATTGCTAAACTCATCCATAATCTGCTGCTTGGTTTTAGACTTTGGAATTGAACCCACAAATAACCTGTCATTAGGAAGAGACAAACAGACACCCAGCTTCCGGCCTCCTCTCACTTCTTTTTTGTCCATCTCCCTGACAGCCTTCTGGGCAGACTCTTTAGTTGCATAAGTACAGAAACCATAGCCTTTATTCAACCCAGAGATAGGGTCAATCATTAAACGAAAGTCATAAATCTGTCCAAAACCTTCAAACATTGGAATCAGCTCATCTTCAAACATGTCACGTGGAAGTTTTCCAACAAATATTTGTGAGCAGAATCTCTAAAAAAGTAAATAGTAAAACTCATTAATTTAGTAAACAGGAAATTTCCATTTGTTTCGGTAAAATTGGTAAAATGCTTAAAATGGTTTACAACTGAATGTGATATCTTCTATTTCTTTGGAAGTGCTTGTGATACAGAAATCTGATACATCTGTATTAAAGAATTGGATGGCAGTCATATTTTCCAAAGAGATCTTGGGTGTGCAAGAGCAAAATTTTAAGAGTGCAAGTGTGCGCTTTGGTAGAAGCATGCACTTCCATTCTGCACTTTGGTGCAAACAATTTTACTAGCACCCTGTGCTGGACTGGAAACTTTGTTTCTTGCGCTGACAAGTTTACTGTGAAAATTTGAGACTGTGCGCATGAAATCATACATTCTTAGCTAATTTTACAGATAACATTGTTTGTTGTTATTATAAGGGAATTTTGTGTGGCCAATATGCCAAGCACGCAGATGTGTGTGCAGCCAAAATATTGTGCACGTGCAACAAAGTCTTCAGTCTGGTAACAGTGTAAATAAAGAATTAACAGTGAAGGAAGTTGAAGATTTACATGATTGATAATAAATTGTTATCAAACAAATGGAAGATTTTTTCAATTTAGAGGCCACACCCTTTACAAGGTGTGCAGGGAAATTTCAAGGAAAATATTTTTGGGTGTGCACTGGCCAAGACTACAGTCTCAAAGACATGAATTTGATGAAAAATACTATATACTCCATAGGGATTAAAAGTTAAAAATAACAACCTTCAAATTTTATCCAATTAAAGTCATATTTTTTAACTTTAAAGTAGGCATTAACAGATAAGATGTGCTAAAAAGTTTGTTGAAAGGTGTGAATTAATGTCACAAAGCAAAGTTTTAATTCGAGGAATTACACTAAAGGTTACTGTACTGGCATTAATCATAATGCCTAACATTTTATCAAAATGATTTTTGAATGTTTTAATGTATTTAAGAAGGATAACGTAACAAGAATATCGTTTGCGCATGACTTAAATAGCGAAAACTGTCTCTTTCTTACCTTCTCACCTTGTCCAGGTGCTGGGCCTTCCCAGCCAGGTGGTGGTCCGCCATATTTTCTTTGTCCAGTTGTAATGTCGAGTGTATAACCAGTTCTTTCCAGCAAGTCCTTTACCTTATCTTCGTTTGGTCCAGCTTTCCCTTCACTTTGTGGTTCTCCTGATTTTTCCTTCTGTTTGGTTTTTGTTCTGTGCGTCTTCATCACTCCACACAGGAATGCACTTTTATTCTGCACATGAGACAAGTCACTCTTTGAAAACTGATCTATAACTTGTATAGCATCATCTTCGACAAATTCCTTCAAACCATCAAGAGCTCTATCATCAAGTTCTTCCGGTGTTATCACACCGTTTTGAACCAAATAGTCAATTTTTGCCGCAAGTCTTTCGCTTACACCTTGTCCTTGTAGCGTGCTGTAAAACTCCGTGTAGGACGGATAGGCTTCCTCTTCGCCATGTTTTATTTCACCTTCGGCATCATACATTCCCCCATCTCCTTCGTAATGCTGCTCTTCTTCACCGGCACCCATGTAGCCCCCTTCGTAATATTCTCCTTCGGCATATTCTTGCTTGCCTTCATCAGCCATTTTGCAATGATTATAAAGCGAATTTGTCTCTCACGATAGCGATTCCTTTTAGGCCTTTGCGACAACAAAAAGGAATGTAGAATGCAAAGCATGGTCGAAACAAGCGTACACAGCATTCTGGGAATGAATGGATTAGGACTGTCCAATCATGTATGATTGCACATTCGGAGAATCTATCAATTGATCAAACTTTTTTCAAATTGAGGGAATAAAGGAATTCGATAAAGCTGAGATACTTCGGTTTCAATTTATGTGTAAAAGACTAAACGGTACCATACGGCAATGAAACCAGTTATACCGTAGGAGCTTTCTTCGGGGCCATTTTCATAATCATAGTTCTATAGAAGGGAGAAGCTTAGTTTTGACCTGATAGATGCCGAGCAAACCATTAGAAACTGCATTTTTCTAGCTAAATACATGATCTGCTGCTTGTATCCTATTTCATCTTAATTTAATTTCTACATATTAATATTTATTCACAAATATCTTTCAGATTAAAAAAAATAAATTGACAAATTAATAAATTATTAACAATACGTGTCTAGGAAAAACAAAATTTTGTTCTGCCAAGGGGTCTTATTGGTACTGCACGTTTAAAGGTTCAAAAGGAGCAATTGATTTTTTTTCTCAAATACTGTCAGGGAAATTTTTTTAATTTTTTGACACCAGAGAAGCTGAAACTTGGTTTCGGATATTCTAAAATTTCTTGTTGCATAATCTAAAATCTGGGATCTTTCCGTGAACTTATGACGAAGATTGTCAAGACAGAAGTCAGGCAAAATTTTTGTACGTCATGCGGATTCAAATCTCTTTCCTGACAGGAAATTAGAACTTTAGAGGTTCGGAAAGTTTGCCTTTTGCAGTTCTGGTTAAATTTTCAATTGGACTATGGCTGTATAGTTTGACTGTAGTGTAAAATGGAAACCTGAAATTCAATGGGATGTCACTTGCTAAAGGTAAGATTTATTGTCCAGTGGCTTCGTGAAGGGCACAATAGAAATTACAACTATAACATTTAGGGATTAGCTAGAAAATGAGTCTGGAATATTTACAACATTGATTGACAACCAAGGACCCTTAGGCACGACAAACATTTGATCATGATTATGCGCCATAGTTCTATTTAGGTTGATTATGACATGAAGACTTTTAAGTGCAAAGTATTGAAAAAAATTTGAATGAAGGCAGTAATTAAAAAATAAAACTTTATCGAAAGTCTCTGTTGTCTTCCAAAGCATGACTTGTCCGGCAAAATATGATCTATCTTCGGGATGAGCAATTTAACCTTTGACGTAATTCTTCAAGTAGCCTATAGGTCCCTGAAACATTCTCACCTCATTCCCATTCTTCAAAACGGGTGCACAATTTGCAAAAATGGGGCGCCAGACATGCTTCAACTCTGTGGTGGAGGGGGCAACTGCAACCTTAAATTCGCCGTTTACCCTAACCACCTTCAACATGGTGGAGAACACTGTCCATAGTCAAGAAGTTTGCAAACCAAAAATGACGGTTCAATTACCAAATAACCATCAAGATTTGTAGCCTTGAGAACTTTCAATGTAAACTTTGCATGTTGAAAAGTAAACCTCAATAAGAATTGGACACAGTTCCAAAGCTTGAAATTTTTTCATGCAATTTATAGTCTGGGTCAATCAAAATAAAGAAACTTTTGATGCTGTGTTATCAAACTCAATTATTCAAATTGTTCCGTGTGTTCAATTTTTTGCCAGAAGTAGCAAAGCTGCATCCTATCATACCAATATTATTTGCTATTATTATGTAATAGGGGTTTTTGCAAATTCAAGCACCCTATCCTTCCATGAGAAATTAAGAGTTCTCACGACTTCTATTCTCCAATAAAGCAATCTTTAATCAATCAAGTGTTTTTCTATGACCAGAAAACAGCATCTGTTTTATATTTCGCTGATTTCTCAACGAAATATTACAATAATACTTCATGTCATAATTAATAAGAGAACAATGCAATTCTGAGCAATAACCGTAAATCAATGTAAAACGTATTTAAGTATCCAGCCGGGGTGTGAGAATTATCACTAAAGATGCAGTTGTTGCTGCATAGTGCTGCATAGTGCTGCAGAAGTGATTGAAAGTGAAAAGTTTAGCTGAAAGTAATTACGCGGTGAAACACCTCTGTAACACTTGCATAGAGTTTAGATTTTAGCTATTGTCAGGTTTTCGGTAATTGATTTATCACTAAGAGCGTATAAAAGCAGCATTGGAAGCATCACCTGTAAATTGTTACATAGAGGGCAGCAAGCATGGCTCTTTTACAGTAGATACAGAATAATACATTTACTGTTGAAATTGTAAATAATGTAATTGTAAATACGATCCGGAACTATACTTTTGAAGAAAAGTTACATATTTAGTTTATTGTCTTCTCTATAAGAACTTGACATTGGATCACCTAAGTTCTATCGAAACATTTTCGCTGAACTCTGAGCTGCACCGAAGAAGCTGACTTAAAGAGAAAGACCATCCTTCGCTATAATTGCTTAGGAAAAGAGGAGGTAAACATTTGCGTGAAAGCGTAATTGAAGAAAAGCGTAATTGAAGAACACCACTGTCGACTTCTAATGTTCAAATGGTCACTTTTCATCAAAATTATTTCTGAAATTTGAATCTGAAGACATGAGGTGCATGAACAGCTTGGAGAACCTGACCGAGACAACTCGCATGGTATTGATTATCTTCAATGTATTGATTGCGGTCCTTGCAACATTGAGTAATGCATTAGCCGTTTATGTATTCATGAGCAGCCACACATTACTTACACGTTTCAACAGTTACTTAATTTCAATGATGATGACAGACTTCCTGGTTGGCACAGTATTAGAGCCACTTTTTATTGTTCAACTTGCTTCCACAGAGATGGCTAGAAGCTGCAATCTGAATGATACGAGCCGTTTTATAATGGTCATACTTACTGGAGTGACAATGGGAACCATCGCATTGATAAGCTATGACCGCTTCATTCATCTGTCTAAGACAGTTCGCTACAACTTGTACATAGGGAATGTAAAAGTTGCAGTGCTCACTGCGTTATCGTGGTTACTCCCTATTGCAATTACCTTCTGTAAATACTTGGATGACGAAGAGCTGGTTTACTGTACAGTTGTCTTTGTGTATGCAATCATTATGGTGATTATTACCATAATTTCATACTATAAGATCGTAAGGACAATCAGGAAGAAAAGAAAGCAGATTTGCACCCACCTTGCTGTTGGTATCCAAAAGCAACCCCAGATTATAGATCGAAGATTGAAAAAGAATACTAATGAAAAGGCAATAAAAATGGTATCAATCGTTATTGCCTGCTTTATAATTTTCATTGCACCGATTTCTGTCTTCCATGGTATCTCTGCGTCATCTAAAATGCTCCCGAAAAGAGAGCCAGCTTCAAACATGGAAGTACCAAACAGGCAGATGATTCTGTTTTACTCTGTTGCAATGACAATTTCAATGGTAGGCTCAATAGCTAACCCATTAGTGTACTATTATCGTCTGCCACAGTTTCAAAAAATAACAAAGAGGAAGCTTAATATCTTACTAGCTTAGCCGAGATGTTAAAATGATATCATTGTCATAGTGGAATCACGTGGCAACATCGTAGTGGATTTACGTGCGTCAAATGATATTTATTTAGCAAATTAATTATCTTCATTGTAGCTAACTTCAACACAGTTAATATGCTTGATTCCAGTCTACTGTATTTGGGAAGTCAGTGGAGCATTCGAAAACTTTCATAACCTCGACCTTGGAACAACAATTGTGGCGAATGCTGAGAGCACATAGTCCAAGAGACTGATGATAAAAACATACTTGTCGATGCTTGGACGATCTCCATCAGTTTAGTCGTGAAAAAAGTTCACTAGAATGACAAAGACCTCTACAGACTGGTGCTTCTTACTGATATATTGAAAAATGCTGCTCTAAAATGTCGAAAGTTAGTTGCAAACTTTCAACGATTCCTATAGACGGGCTTGAAATAGGTCTATTCATTCGTAATCCATTTCAAGAAGAAAATTTCTCAGCAACAAAGTCTGACTTCCAAAAAGCATGAAGTAAACTTTGAAATCATTTCTTTTAAGTGTAAACAATTTGTAATGTTATTCAGTGTGCCAGTTAAAACCGACATATTTCCAGACTCATCACCCATTACCTGTCTTCTCCTCAAGGCTCTTTAAGCGAATTTTTGTAAGCTAGTTGTACCTGTTTTTATAGACCATAAAAACAATTTAAACATTTAGAACCTTGACTGTGGTATTTGCAGATTGCTAGATACAATGGTATGCTACAAAGGTATTGAGCAGTAGAAACTAGAGATTGACATGGCACTAATTTCACCCCTTTATTCGGAGAGTGAATATTGAATGGTAAAATTAAAGTTGGGATACCTCATGAGTCATTTAAAAAATATCTTCTATTTGCTTTTTACATCAATGACCTATCCACTTGTCTATCCGCCTGTTCAAAAAGTAATATGTATATTGATGACACATTTGCGACCAGCCTTTAATACCACTCAGTTGACCGAGGTCATGGAAGATGCTGGGTAATAGGGAGAAAGAGGTATGGCAATAATATTTAAGACAGACATCTTAAAGATCCATAAAACATGAAATAGAAAATAGATCAGCAATCATCATGATTACGAGATTCTAGTAACAAGATTGTTGAAGACGTGAAAGTCTGGATCGAAGCTCAAACGAGAAAGGCCAGATAGAAAGGTTTTGTCTAAAGAACAAAACAAGCATTCAAGAGCCTTTTATGTCCTTCTTAAGAACTTTTTTCTGTTAAGCATGCTGAATAACTTCTGTCTAACAAACTGACAAACGTATGTTTACCTTAAAACGTACTGAAAACCCACCTTTACTCCATCCCCTCGCGGTCTTGTAAATGCTAGAAATGTCATAAAGCCAACATGTCTTCACCCAAAAATCCAAAGTATAAAGCTTTCAAAAAGCAAAGTAATTCATTGGAGCTAAAAATTCAGGATATCGGGCTTACTGTTGTGTGAATAACGAGATATCTTGGTGTGCAAATTGAAAAAATCTTATGC